TAGATTATTAACTCCACTAGAAAAAGAAACGATTGTTTTGCTCTTGACTGCACAAACTAATCATAGAAGTTTCAATTATATTTACTATTATCCAGAAAATATAACTTTACTATTACAGCTATATTTAACAAGATTTATCTTTGGTGAATAGTTTTTTACAGACGAAAGTAACTTTTAATCTTAATAGATGTATTTAGATCTTAATAGATTATATAAAGTTTATTTCTCAACTCTGACATATCAGGTAATCTGTTTAAGTGGTAGTAATATAAAAATCTATAAATATGAATGTTCTCTTTCTTTTATAGGATTTATTACTGGAAAAGTTCTGTAGAACATATTTTTATTATTTCTGCAAAGAACAGGGATTTACTTTGAGGAACTACTTGTGCAAGTATACAATAAAAGTATAGTGATTATAAAACTGTACTTGCTGCAGCTTAATACATTAAATATATTATATAGTATAAAAATAGAAATATAAGTATGTTAATAAAATTAGAAAATATATACACCATACAACAAAATGAAAATTAATGAAAAGTATTTTACTGTTTCGGAATGTGCGCGTAAAATAGACTGTAAACTTGTATAAATGATGAAGTGAAACTATCATAAAAAATCGAGTAGTTCTTATACACTGAATTATATCTTTGTTTAAATACTGTATTTAAACTTTGTTTAAATATTGTATACTTGCACAAGTAGTTCCTCAAATCCCTGTTCTTTGCAGAAATAATAAAAATATGTTCTACAGAACTTTTCCAGTAATAAATCCTATAAAAGAAAGAGAACATTTATATTTATAGATTTTTATATTACTACCACTTAAACAGATTACCTGACATTTTATAAAATGTTTCATATACTTTATGAAATTACTAATTAAATGGCGCGAGCCTGTTTCAGTATAAATAAAATTTAACTTAAAACTAAATAGTAGAGGGTATCTGTTATGTCTACAGAATATAATCCTATGCTCAAATAAGATAAGCAACAGTTACAGCAACGCTTAATCGATCTACGGCTGTCAAGGATTAGACAAGAATCTGTCTAGTACTAAATAATTATTGATAAATAATCGGACATTATCTGCTCATATGGTTCAAAATTTATAATATTTGTAATTAATTTCTCTTTACGACAATTTTAGCAACGTAATCTATTTCACGTGAATTGAATACTGTTGCAAGCAAAAACTATCCTTCCATGAAACGGACTGTAATAGATCTAGAATATAGAGTAATAAATCTTTATATATTCATATAATTGTGAAAGATTTATGGAAGGTATTCATATAATGAGGCGTTAAATGAAATAGTGTATAAATTGAAAATTATAATTCATTCTTATATTTCAGTAAGACATTATATTATCTAAAATACGATTTGTTTCCTTCTTAAGCTCGATTTGCTTAATCAAAACCAAATTATATTCTTATGAATTGTTATTGGAGATAATCTTAAGAGAATCTTAAATATAAAATTCGGTTATGAATATTGTTTTATCGTAGATTGACTTTTAGCTTCAGAAGATGATTGATTTATTAGGTTAATTATTTCGCAAACAATATTGCTAGAAAGTTACCTTAAGTAATGACTAATACAATACGAAAAAGCTCTATAAATCTCTGTGCTAAACGTTTATAAATATAATTTATTATATACAGCTTTGGCACCATACAGAATATTAATCAAACTTATATAATGTTTAAAAAACCATAAAGAAATAATTGTTTTTTACACTCTTTGATGTATTAATACTTTTGACTGCGATTGCCTATATATGTCAAGCATATGTTTGTGTATATATCATATGTTCCGCGATAGACGCACACTAATGCACGTACTAAAAAAATAATCGTGATGTTGGGTTTCATTTTACCATGCATTTTACCGTAATTTTCGCATTTTTATATATTGATCTGATTGAATATTTATATATTCATTTTATATATTGATTAAATATTGATTTAAAGATCTTTAAGATTATTTAACGATCTTATCTTTAAGAAGATATTTAACTGAGGGATATCACGGGAAATATAATACATAAAATATTGCAAAATGACGAAATGCTATCAGTTATATACTTCAACTATTAGATTAGTTGTCATATATTTCAATTATTATCATAAACTGTGTATTTTACATATCAGTTTCTTGAAAATTAGATGGTCAACTATGTACTAATTTTTTTGGTTGCTATTGTTAGATTAGTTTGCTTAGTTTAGATATTAGATTAGATTGCTGTATTGTTAGATTAGATTGAAAGTTATGGTTCAACTTTGATCGAATGTTGAACCAGTACGGGTTGCCAGTACAGAGCCAATGTCAAAAATTTGACACCTAGTAATAGCACAACATAAGGCCGCTCGTAAAGCCTGTATGGATGATCGGAAATTGTGAAGAGGGAAACCGAAAATTGTCGATGGAGTCATAAAAAGTGGGCTCCGTGGTCTCTCGACGCCCCTCGCGGCCCTTCGTACCCTATGCTGCAAAAAGCTGACGTGGGGTCACTGGATCCCGAAATACGAACAACAGAGTATTATTTATGTGTCAGTCGGATGACACTGTGTGTCGGCACGCGCCCGCTTTTCCTTTGGGAAAGATGATTTAATTAATGTTGAGGTGAGATGATGTTACTGTAAAAGCAAATTTCTAAGAGTTACAAATAACTGCTTGTCTCAGGTCACCCTCAAATTAGTTTCTTCTAATTCTTCTATTTTCGATTTAATTTGTTTTAATTCCTTAATTCCTTAATTTCTCTTCTTTTTATTTTAATTCTCTTCTTTTTATTTTAGTTTCTTCTAATTCTTCTATTTTCGATTTAATTTATTTTAATTCCTTAATTCCTTAATTTAATTCCTTAATTTCTCTTCTTTTTATTTTAATTCCTTAATCCTTATTTTAATTCATTAATTTCTCTTCTTTTTCTAATTTTCTATTAAGTAATATAAAGGCGATCATTTTCTGCGCGACTCTTTTGCAAGTGTTATACAAGAACAACGAACATTGAGAACGACGATTGGGGTGAGATTCACTGGAACGACCGTTGCGAGAAGATCGCGGAATCCGAGTCAATGTGTGTATCGTTCGAATTACAATCTATCGGGTGCTATTCTAATTCTCGAGCTGTTGCGTCACGTCATGCACCCTCTGACACATGAAACGAGCCATCGACTCGTTTGCGCGTTCGACTTTCTCACTCGCGTTTTTTCATCTTCGTTTCCGTTGCAATTCGATCGAGGAAGAAAAAACACGATGAACGTAGCGCAACGAGAAGGAACCGCTTTATGCAGAGTAACAGAAGAGGAAGGAGACCTGGGCTTCGCCGTTGTGCATTCTCGCAAGCAGCCTCGGCGATGGAAGAAAGAAAGGTGCTCGTTAAATTATAACAACTACCAAATTCCGTTTCCGGATGAAAGCGGCGTAACGGAATGCGTAAGAAGGAGGGAGTGGACGAGAGATCGCGGGATGAAAATAAAAAGAAGAGAGAGAAACAGGGAGAAAGAGAAACAGAGAGACAGAGAGAGAGAGAGAGAGAGAGAGAGAGAGAGAGAGAGAGAGAGATCACGCAATGGAGGGCGGCTCTATATGCATACGAGAACATTCAGGTGTCAATCAAGGTTCGGGATCTTTGGACTTTGGGGTGCTGTGCTCGGAACACGATTTTTCCGCTAAAAATTTACGTATTCATTCACGCGAGGACCGCGCGAACGAAGGACGATGGTAGGCAGGGGCAGATTACGAACGGGAAGTCTGTTTGCTTTTTCATCACTCTTGACTTCATATTCGAGAGTATATTTTTTGCGCCAACCGTCACGCATTGTTAACGTCAACTCACACTTTTTTTCATACGTCGCTGCCAATAACGGCGGAAAGCCGGAAACGAGTTTATATCGCGGTGTAGAAAGTTCGACATCACTATGAGATCCTGAGCGAGAACACGCTCGTCAATCTGTACTGGAAATTCGTTTTGCTCGGAGGGATTTTCGGTAAGATATCTTTCATTAATATAACTCGTGATGTACAAGTTATTCTTGGTATATAATGAATATATCTCGATTTATATGGTAAGAGATGAATATCATATTGAGAAGATTATGAATGCATGAGACGTCTGTCTGATTTACTGGAGTCTCGATTCACGAAATTTCAGCTTGTTATATTTTCAGGAGTAGTATAAATCGGGCTTTCCATTCTAGAGAAGACTTTATTCTAGCAATCCTGATTTTCTCATGACACAATTGCAAAACGGTTTAGACACATTGAAAAATCATTAAACTGCCGAAATTAAGTCATTACTCAATGACAAATTTTTCATACATAATTACGTAAAATTACATAAAATTATATATAATTTTACATTATTATATATAATTATATTTGAAATTTGTCCATTCATGATAATACATGTTACTTATATATATATCATGTATAATTATATATATAATTTCATGCATAATTTTACATAATTACGCATACAATTATATGAAATTATACATATAATTATACATAATTATGTATGGGCAAATTTTATATATAATTATGCATAAAAATTTTTTTATCCGTACCGTGATGGGCTCTTGCTCAGTAATTATATATTATTAATTATTACTTTTCATTATTATTGATATTATTATTATTTGGTACTATTTAGCGTTCCTGATTATATTATTATTGCGTAAGAGTACGTCCGTAATGATTCTCAATTCTGACAATTTGGTGAGCTCCCAACTTCATAATATCTAAACCGTTTTACAACCCACTGTACACGATACTTTCTTAAATATATACGTTTTTCCTGTATTTTCTAAAAAAGAATTTTCAGATAACGTCCTTTCTAAACTGACAAGTTTAATTTTTAAGATAATTATGCCAAAACTACTTTTAAATCTCCATCGGCTTTCTAAGTTAATCGCGGCATTAAACGATCGATATATGATGAGCGATTATAGAGAATAGGAGGAGAGTCGTATTGTTTAATAAATTCTTTGATTTATATTAAACTGCGCATAATTTATTGTGGCTTGCAACGATATTGTTCCACACAGTAGCGTGAATATACAAGAGCGTGAATATACAGGAGCGTGCATAAGTTCTCATACGCGGCAATATACAATAACGTAACGGAATTTTTTTATCACATAAAATTATCATAATAAAATTTCTCATGGATCTAAGAGATCCATGAACTGACAAAACGATTGAAATCGGTAGGATCAAATCACCGGCAGATCAGATCATGTCCTGCATTCTTCGCGATCGGCGTTGGCTGGCCAGTCGCAGATGGACTTGGACGCGTTGAAAATCAAACCTGGTGCGCATTTTGTCTTCACGGGTTTGCCGTGGTTGCAGATGTAATACTGTAAAGAGATAAACATAATGACGTAAAGAGTGTGCGAATATAAAAAAAATCTATTTTTCTATATCTATAAAATCTATGTGTATGTGTGTGGGTGTGTATGATTTCGCATGATAATAGTGACTCAACTAAAAAATTCTCATCTAACTCTAAATTCATATCTGAGTATCTCAGTTTTAAAGTTTTAAGCAATAACTATTAAGAGAATGCAGAAGTCGATGACGAATTTGAACAATGTTGATAACGCAGAGGCGATCGTCACTAACATAACACTTATCATATTTTTTATGCATATAGAACTAATGTAAATGTGTGTTGCTTTGTTTTACCATATTCAGCGGAAAATCTAATCCCACACATATGTAGAAATCTTTCTGCAAACTTTTCGGATATTCTTAAGCTTCTGAATTTAGATGCGAAGGTACAACAATGTCCTTCAAAGTTTTTCTGTTTAGAGCATCCATACGGTATATACAAGTTGCGGAACTTTTAGATTAGGTAAATATTACGCTGACAGCTTGACATTTTACATTAAAAATTTTTTTTCGTTTTTGTAATATATTGAGCAATGTTCTTATTTATTTTTGCACGTACTTTCATTGCGTAAAAGCATTTGTAATTCTGTGCAATCAATACGATGTAAACTTTGCAGAAAAATGTCAGTATTCTGTCGGTAAAGTTTTCAGCCTCAGCATCCTCTTAATATGAGCCACTGTCATATAGTAAAGTAAAAAACATTTGACTCGAACGATAATATAGCGAGACAGTTGAAATTCTCTACTCGACTTCAACGTGGATAAACGAACTTACCGTTGAGCAATCCTTGCTGGGGATGAAAGTATTGCCGTTGCAAACGACCTCGTCGTCATCAACTGGTTTCGAAGTAGATTGGGTAGGTCTCTGAGTTTGGTCGGTGGGATTAGGAGGTGCCTTAGTAGTTGGTTTGCTGCCGTCCGAGGGTGTTGTGCTGGGAGGTCTGTCCCAATCGGGCTGAAATCAAATCGCAATTGTCACACTCGCAGAGCGCTTTTACGCAGCCCAGCGATATTCTCGTCACCCAAATAAACATGTGTACGCAAATTTGACAGCAACTTCACTAGTCAAAGATTGTGTACCTTATCAGTGATTTATCTAGCACTCATTTATCACATAAAATGATAAAATATGAAAGAAATATAGCAAAAATGACCAAAATTTCCATTAAACAATGTGTCATGTAAAACGTAATATGAAAATTCAAGTGTAATTTTTACTAAATTTGTCCTGCATCAATATAACAAAAGAATTACATTATTGTATGATGTAAATTTAAATGATTAAATCAATTCAGTATATTTGTCTCATAAATATAATTGAAAAATTCTTAAGTTTCCATCATCGAGTGTTTCACGTCGTGATAGTCATGTGAGTCTATTTGGATATTTGATTTTCCCGCGAGTGTCTTACCCTGGGGGTGGTCTTGTAGTCCTTAGGCTCTACGGTGTAGCCTTGCAGGCCCTTGTAAATAGTGTCCATGAGATGATTCTTGGGACCACAAATTCCATGGAAATCATCCATATCGATGGCCCAGACCATAGCACCGCCATACTGCTTCTCCTTGATGAAGTTTATCTTATGGACGATACTGTCGGCGTCTTCATAGCCAACCCACTGAGGTGCGTTACCTCCTGCTGTAAATCAAGTTAAATATAAATTATCAACTACTGTCACACCGGATTTTTCATAAGTATCAAATTGCAAACATTATGTTAAATGTATTATAGTTAGGATCTCAGATATTTAGTCAATTAAAGTATAAAACAGCCAGTAAACTGTCATGGCGGATCTTGGCGCAAAATTGGGACTTTATTTTCGGGAGGATAATCATTTCTAACAGAGAGAGAGAGAGATAGATAGATAGAGAGAGAGAGAGAGAGAGAGAGAGAGAGAGAGAGAGAGAGAGAGAGAGAAAGTCAAATGCACACTCAGAAGAATTCTCAGACTAATATCCATCTTTTAGTTCTCAGACTAGAATCCATCTTTTAGTTACCCTATATTAAACCTCGATTTAATATTGAAAATAATTTTACCCGATAGTATCTGCCTCTACAATAAAAGAGAGTGTATATAAAGTGTCAAAATAAGATTGATGAGTATGTCACACATATATTGAATATGATCATCAAAAACTTATTTTTGTGTACACAATCGCGCAAAGTAATTGTACTTTCTTTAATAATTCAGATATGATACTTGATTCTATCAGAACTCTAATTGATGTCCGCCTCAATTGAAAAGTAAGGATGCGTCTCACAAATGATATTACTATTTAATAAAGAGATCAAATTACAATATTTTCAAACCAATCGTTCATTAGTACATTCACTCTATAGAAACTCCGAACTCGCGCCAGGAAGAACAAGTGAAAGACACTTTGTCCTAAAGCCGCGAAGAGTTTCCGTTTCGCAATATTTCCTTGAAGCTAAACTCACGCTTGTATGCGTAGGGCACTTTGCCGATGTCATCGTAGTCTTCGATCCATCCGTTTTTGTCTGGCTGTGTAAACTGCATGCAGATCTGCAAATAGTAATATCAACGTAATAAATGTGACTCGACTTGCTCTCATTTTAGCTTATCTCAGATCGATTACTTACCTCGTAGTAAGACAAGAATCCTGCTGCCTGGGTGAATTCACCGGGCGCGCCGCCACCGGCTTCCTTGTTGATCCAGGTTCCAGGCTTATAGTTTGTGTTGCCCTGACTGAGGGTGAAGGTACGTCCGTACAACGGAATTCCTACGATGAGTTTGTGAGCGGGGCATCCCTTGTCTTCCCAGAGTTGAAGACCATCGTGCTGCAAACAAGGACAGCAATCGGCCATTGATAACGAGACCATTAGTCTCTTCAACACGAGACAGATCGTCAACGAGTGAATTGATTGTGTTACGTTCGCGGCGTGAGAATGTAAGTTACGCTTTTGTCGAGATGAAGAGATCGAGTATCAAAGTCATACCACATTCAGTTTCTCGTAAGCGTACTGATCGTGAGGTCTTTTGTACAGCGGACTGTGGACATCCGCGAAGCCCGCCCAGTTGCCACGAAGATCGTAAGACATCACGTGGATGGCGTCACATAATCTGCGCGTATGTAATTAAAATAATTATACACATGGAATAATTATATTACATGGAAAAAACAGTATAGTCAGCACACATATAAATCTGGTTATGCCAATCAGATTCAGTAATATAACTAATTATAAGTAATAAATAATTGGTAGCAATCACGGACCAATTATTGAGTTACTGGCGTTGCAACAGTGATGATATTTTATTGCTTCAACCAGACTTTATCTATAATAAATGTCAGTCCAACTGACTTCTGATTGCTACAACTGAATCACGCACAACTACACTGAGAAAAAAATAGTTAATCTAACTAAAATTATAATTATTTTGGTTATTTTAGTCATATTTTCTTGGTTGTTCTAACACGAAAATAATAGTAATAGCATGTATATAAGATTATTATTACTATAATGTTATGATAAGACTAATAAAAAAATGATTTTTTACTATAATTTATAGTAATTATTTCTCTATATGATTCAAGACACAAATAACAAACACGTTTTTCTCAATACACATTGATATAGTTGATGTACCAAAGTAACTGTAAGTAAGTGTCAATCATACACATTGCCATCACATAAAGGTAAGTAGTGTCATGCAACTATGCTACTCATAATTAAATATTTCTGGTTAAGTGTTAGTAATTTTCTTGTCCGTACTTACCATAAATTATGATTAAGTGAACCATTTTTTTTTTATTAAACTCTATTATAACGTTATAGTGATAATAATCTTATATGCATGTTACTACTATATCTTCATGTTAGAACAACTAAAAGAATATAGTTAAGACCAAAAATAACTGAAATAATTTTAGTTAAATTAACCATTTTTTCTTAGTGAAGTTGTGCGTGATCCGGTTATGGCAACCAGAAATCAGTTATTATTTATTATTTATAATTAATTATAATTAGTTATGCGCGCATGCACGAACTTTCGTGTCAAGCATTGTATATTTTGTTGCTCGAAGACGTTAAACCATTAGCAAAAACGATAAGCGGTCACTTACTCGCATAACTCCGGCACATGGTATCCCTCGTTGAGACGGAAAGTGGCCATCGGCACCGCCATAGTGATCTCCCAGCCCTTCTTCCTCTTGTCGAATGCAGTCCTCAACTCTTCGACGAAATAGAAGAAGTTGTTTTTGTCACCGAAATTGCCGCCTCTATCGGTTGCACCTGGATATTCCCAGTCGAGATCGAAGCCGTCAAAGTCATATTTATCCATAAAATCTGCGAACGAAATCGAGAATTAAATTCTTCGCTTAAGAAAATAGTATATATACAATTTCATATAGGATATTGTATTTGGTATTATTTTTTTATTTAGTTGTACACGGAAAAAAAATGTATTTGAATTAACTAAATGTCTGTTGAAACATGAATATGATGATCCGGTTGAAATTACCAATTCTGTTAAAGTTGGAAGAGTTCTGTTAAAATTAACAAAATTTCTGATTAACCAGAACTTGCAACTATTTAAGTTAACCAGAAATCTTGTTAACTTGAACAGAATTTTGGTAACTTCAACCGGGTTTCTAGTTCGTTCATATTTCACCAGACATTTGATTAATCCTACCAAACTTGTTTTCCGTATATAGTAATTGCAAATGCTTATACAAAGTAAAAATATAAATGTTAATGAATGACAAAATATCTCAAGTTATATAAAAGATTTATTTAAATTTCTTATTTTTTTACAAAATTTCTTCTGTTTTTTGTATAATATGAAGTACTCCGGAATTGAATTATTTATACTTTTACTCTGTATAAACATTTGTAATTCTATATAACCAAAACAGTGCAAAATATCAAAAGTGCATGTCGATATCCAACATCCCTTTAATCCACGATAGACGTCAAACTTAAATATCCGTGAAATACGAGGTATTCCCTTCATCTCATTTTTAGGTGTATTAAAATTTGCAACACACAAAAAAAAGAAATTATGTAAATTTTATTCAGCGCATTTTCATTTACTCATGACTTTCGGAAAAATTATCAAAATCAAATTCTTTTCTTTTTGAATCAGTGTATAAAACAACAAGGGATATGGATCTCTTTCTATTCATTGTTTTGCGATTCAAAGTTAAAGAAAGTTGTAATAAAAAAACAAAACACATGTTTTTTAGGAACAATTACGTTTGAAAAGTTAGTAAATGGTACTGGGTAAATTTGATTTGTGCTTAGAATATTAGAGTTAAAGAAGATGTTTGTAATACAGTGTGTCTGACAATTATTAATATTTTCATTGTAAACAGGTAGAACTCATGAAACAAAATTCCTCTACTATTTCGCAAACGACCACGTGAAATTGTAAGTTATTAATCAAAGTAGATCAGTGAGTAATGCGTGTTACAATAAATGAGCTGTGATGATGGCGTCTCTCGCTACGTGTTTGAATATTAATTCAAATTGGGCAAAACTGTCTCCTACCATTTTGCAAATAACCACGTAAATTTGTAATTATTAATTAAAGAAGATTGATACATTATTGATACATTACCAATCTACACATTATCGTAGCTCATCTACCGTATCATGCGTAGTCATTCATGAATCCTCTTTAACTCTAGTACCTTAAGCACAGATCAAATTTATCCAGCAAACTTTTCAAACGTGATTGTTCTTAAAAAAACATGTGTTTTGTTTATTCATTACAACTTTCTTTAACTTCACTGAATCACAAAACAATTAATAGAGAGAGATTCATGTCCCTTGTTGTTTTTTACACTGATTTAAAAAGAAAAGAGCTAGATTTTGATAATTTTTCCGAAAGTCATGAGCAAATGAAAATACGCTGAGTAAAGTTTACATTTCTTGGTGTTTAGAGGATTCTAGAGTTAATCAATAATTCAAAATTTCACATAGCTTTTTGCGAGATGATAGAGGAATTCTGTGTTCAATTTGACGAGCTCTACCTACTCATAACGGATGTGTCAATAATTATTAAATACCTTGTACACATGTATATGATTCAACGAGTTTCCTTAAATAAATGTCACAAAAACCAAATCATGTTTATTATTATTAGTTTATTTTTCATATTTAGCGCTTTATATCATGAAGACTTACCGCAGATGCCGTTGATGAGTGAAGTTCGCTTGCTTCGATCGGCGACCATAGAGCTGTACTTTCTGCCACCCTCGGCCCAACCACCGATGGCGATCTGGGTCTTCAGATGCGGATGTTTATGCTTTAGGGCGACGAACTTTTCGAAGCCGCCGTTTGTTACGTCGAGTTCCTCATCGAGGATGAGGACGCTCCAGGTAACGTTGCTCACTCCAATGAAGGAGTAGACAATGTGCGTGCACAGTTCATTAGGAATGTCGTCGATGCCATAGCTGCCTATGCCCGGGCGATACACAGCCCAGTTACTGAAGTAGCAGACTATCCTTGGTTTTTCTGAAACATAAATTTTGTAATTAGCATCGCCTCCAAATTACACGATCCGAATGGACTTTCACGATTTGACTTTCGACTTGCATCGATTGATGGCAACTTAAACACTTTTTTCATTATTCTTATGCAGACAAATATATTCTGTATTGAATCATAAATTATTATAAATTTACATCATACTCAGATAAATGGATGCACGTAAATTTTGTGGCTGTAATCCGTATTGTTTCCACAGGTAGTACGAAATGTATCTATATTATTTTACATAAAAGTGGCGCAGCTCATAACATTGACAACTTAAAGTCCAAAGCTCAAAACTTATCAGTTAATGAAATTTTCAAATGCGACATAAACTGAATCAGTTAAACGGTACATAATTAAGGACAATATAGTAAAAAAGAAATAATAAATAGAAAGTATGATTAAAAAAGGCAACGTGAGAACTTAAGCACTCGTGATGGGAAATAATAATTTCAAATAAAAGAAAGTAAATATCTCATTTTATTTCGTTTGTCATCTACTAGTATAATAAATACTTATTATCTTGTCCTTTTTACAATTAATGAATGATTTACTCAATCAGAAAATAATTTTCTCGAAATAAAAGAGTATAACTGCTTGTTTTAAGAAAAGTCGTTTACAATGTATTTAAATTAATAGTTTACTTAATGCATATATATCGCATATGTGAATCCTAAGAAAGCTTTTATCATCATATTATGACACAGACTTGAAATTCTTTTATGTTCAATAAGAAAGACAACATCCCTTATAGAAATATCATACTAAGAATCATTAATAATTACTTATTTTCAGTATTAAAAATACTGGATAATAAGTAATTATTATTATATAATTATTATTATCATATAGTTATTATTATTATATAATTATTATTATAAGTAATTATTAGTATGATATTTCTATAAGGGATATCTAAATTTATTTCTATTTTTCAGTAAACTAATTATGAGACACGTAGATAACTTTGTCGATAACATTCATATATATTACGCGATTCAATACGGAATAAAGTTGCTGCAAAATTTACGTATATCTGTCTATATGGAGATAGACAGTAAATTGCTTGAATTATTAATAATCTTGCTCCTAATTTGTGTCTACGAGAAATTCAATTTCTTCAAACATTAGTTTGCGATACAAAGATCGTAAAATTGTAACGTAAAGCGCAAAGTGGATAACTGCAAGGCCGCGTTATGATTAAAAATAATAAAGAGCAAATATTCGATTTGTATTAACGCCGATATTTTTCACGATAGCGCGAAATGATATTTCTCGTTCATTCATCTTTATCTTATCATTGAAAGAGCAGATAGCTCACCAGTTAATCCGCACGCCAGGAGTGCCAGGAATAGAGGAACGGAAAGTAGCAGCTTTCCCGCAGGTATCATCTTGGAGCCTGCAATTAATCCAATGAGAAATGCCATTAAATATAACTAATTCATAACAACAATTTGTAATAATAACGCACTGGACTCGCCACTCGCGCGCTTCTATATTACATCGTTCCGTTTCTGCCTCGTAGACATTATCTTTCATACATATTATCAAATTAATAATGTTATTTCAGTGTTCCAAAATGATAATTTTGAGATTTTTATACCGATTTTTTTTACTTTCTTCTCTTTTTCTCTCTCTCTTTTAAGAAACTAGCCGCACTTATTCTATTCGAAAATACACTTTGAAGTCGCGTGTTCGAAACTTCGTGCGGTTTCCCCGGCAATCGACACGTTTCTGCATCGCGGCCGGTCACCTGAGCGCTTCATCGGACCTCCGCGGAAACTCCTTCGAGCGTAAACCGATCGATTTATCGCGGTGTCGTCGTGCTCAAGGGGAATGATCTATAACGACCGGTTCTCTGGAACGGGACAGTGAACATTGACACCATCGTGAAATCTTCAAGCGGATATAGTGACGATGATACCGGCTTGTTCGTGCATAAACGTACAACTAACATATGATACGCGGATCTCTCGGGATCAGCGATATCGATCTGGAAATTAACGTAATGCGAATATAAGAAAACACAGCTTTCAAATAATCTTTAGATAAAAGGCCAGAATTTAGTATTTAATGAATATCATATCATATTTTCAGCTTGGAGAGAGAGAAAGAAAGGGAGAGAGAGAGATATTATTTTTGTATTTGATTAACAACATGAAATAAATCTTGAATGAGCTCGATCGTTTAACGCTTATAAACGGCTGCATTAATAAATTTATTAATGTAAAACAGAATCAGCACGGTGTGCGACGAATCTTTTATTATAGTACGTATATATATATTTCCCAATAGTGCATAATAATTATAGCGGCTCGGTCGCGTTATAGTCATCGCTTTAATCGGCGATATGAATCTTGAATATCTAACTGTTTCCGCGAGATTATATATTCAGCTATTCCAGTCCGACGAACTCATCGATCTATCCTCGAATAGAATTAAGCGAGTGCGCGGATAACCGTTATGAGACCGGTCATATAATTATGTTATTTTAATACATATCCATTAATATCAAGTGCAGATTAAAGCAGAGCTGCACGGGAAATTTTTTTTGTGAAAATTACGTGGAAAATATGTCCCTACGATATTTTTTGTAAAACTAAAACTGTAATATGAATCACCGTGAAAATAGTAAATTTGATGAGCTATCAAATATCAAGAGAGATATAATTAAAAATTAAAATACAATACAATACAAATTGTACCACCAATAAAATAATTTGCTGTATTCTTTAAATTTCTAAAAGTGACGTGACTATCGAGTCACTTTTCATTCATATAGAATCAATTCTCTGCTCTAGATTCGTTGAATGGATATTTTCACTCGAAATTGAAGAGCGAATCTGGTGTACTTTATTGTTACATAAACATATTTACTCGAATTGATTAAAACATTTACTCATATGAAGTAAAAAATATTTCTAGTTTAATGAATTATATCTTTATTAAACTTGCTACATTTACATTATATTTTTCGTTATAAATATAATATAACTACTTCCGTATTAAATGTAATTGCACAAAAATTGCAAAATGTCTTTTTTATTGTAATAAAATTTAGTTACTTTGTGGAACAAAACATTAAAATAATTATAATAATTTTGTAATAAAAAGTCAAACAATCAACGGATTCGAAAAACGTTTGAATCGCAGTTTAAATTAATTCTCGCGTTGCGCAACGATTTGTCCTCCCTGTCGCTGCTTTAAGCTGGATGTTGACGGGTGGAACTCGAGTTACGAGAATTTAGTTGCGAGCAAGCAGAGAAAATCGTTCAGATCCCAATGAATCACCAGATGCGACACTCGTCGAGAGACGCGCGATTAAAAATTCCCGAGAACACACTTGACTACTTTAAATGAGATTCCGTAATTAAAGCCGGCAATCGCTATTGCTGCACGTCGCGTATCATGTTCTCTGCTGAGAAACATAAGATTACGCGCATCTGACGTCGCCCCGAGAATTCCTCGGTGCAATTTTCGCGCGATACGGAGGAAACAGAATTACGACTGTAATACAGTTTTGTGGCATTATAAAACGTACTGCGGGAAACCCTGGACTTATTCCTGCGTAAAATTGCGCAACGCTCGTGACTGCCGTTACCATGTAAGAAATGCAGACGGAAGTAACAGACGATCTCGTTGGTGACGCGCTCGCGCGTTTTATTCACGACTTCAAACTTGGGCTTCGCGACGAACGAATAGTCGTGCGAGTATTATGAAATTGCAAGAACTGAAAAGAGGAGAAGGGAGAAGGTTTTTGTTATAGAAATTAATCAGGACAGGTCCTATAAGTATATAGTGGTCTAAGGATGTTTCATAATAGGCATTACCCCCATTACAGCTCAGCTACGACCACAATAGACAAATTATGCATATAATTTCATAAATAGGCCATGAATTAATGTTGACGTGGTGTCTTAAAATAGGGTGTCTTAAAATAATTCTTGATTCAAAATAAGTAGTTTTGAATAAAAATGGATAATAATGGAATAAATTAGTTAAAGAAAAAGAGAAAGATGTAAGAAATATTGTAATATAAGCGTGTTAAAAGAGAATTTAATTTATTATATTTTAAGAGATCACGCCACTCTGGAGGAGCTGAGAAAACGTCAGAAATTTTTTCCAACGTAACTATAAGTGATCAACAATTTTCTTTAATTACAATGTTCAATATATAGTTTGATGAAAATTATATGGGAATAGTTCGAAAGAGTATTAAAAAATAACTAAATTATAGAATGCCCCGCAAAACTGTTTTGTTGAAATGTGCACTGATAATATACTTGATATCTCGAAAACTAATAATCTCATTGATTTCTAATTTGACACGCATATTCTTAACAATATTATTTAGGGCGCAACGTAGGGATCTTGAGAAAAATGAAAAATTGTAGAAGTTATAACAAATTGAAGATAACAATATTCGATTTTTGTTTAGAAAATTTAATTTTAAACATTTATTATAAAGAAATGATTAAAACTGTATCTAAAAAATCCTGTGTTGCATCCTAAATAGTCTTGTTAAGAATATGTGCTAATTAAAAGTCAATCGGATAATTAGTTTTCAGGATAAGGTACAGCGGGATAAATTGAATAACGGGGGAATTTAGATAATATTAAGCGTTTGCGACAATTTCAGAAAAATATGACATATAGCAGAAAAATATGAATATATAGCATGCTAACATAAAAGAGGGTGCCTCATATTTTTCTGAAATTGTCGCAAACGCTTAATATTATCCAAATTCCCTCGCTATTCAATTTACCACGCTGTAGCCTATCTCTCGTGTAAATCATCATTACGCTTTTCAGCAAAGGAGTTTCGCAGGATATCCTGTAACTTGGCTATTTTTATTGAATGTACAAAATTCGAATGTATATGTATAAAAAATATTATGTTAGAGAAAATTGTTCATAATTTATAATTGCGTTGAAAAAAAATTAATGATTTCTGACGATTTCTCTTGGTGACGTGCGATCCCAGTTTACATAAATATGTCAAAATAAGATCTTAACACATCACTTCAATCAAGGTCTAGTTAGACATACTAAGATAGAGCCTAGTCAGGTTTACAATGCTAGATGCTAATTTGTAAAAACGTTATATCTCTGTGTAAGACATAAGTGGATTAGTCTTTCTCTCTTCTTATAGGATCTTGATAAAAATAATATAAAAATTGTCAAAGTCCTTTTTAATCTTCATTTTAAATTTCTACCCATGTTTAATTGCAAGCAGAAAACGAGAGAGAGAAAGACAGAGAGAGAGAGAGAATCGCGTTTGCGTTCTACGCGTGTTCGACAGTAAGGAATACCGGTGTTACGAGTTTATCACGAGGCGTCCATAAGAGAGATTAACGACCAGGGTCCGCGAGCGGCAAAGGGGAGGATAGTGTTTTGAAGTTATAAAATCTTCGTCGAGGTTCCTTCTCTCCTCTCTTTTAGGCAGAACCGGCGCCGAATAACGATCCGGATTAGGCGACGGTGGAACGGCGCGTGAGCGCGAGCCCCCTTGGGAGGAATCAAAGACCGTCCTTCGGATTCTATGGCCACCGTGACAGGATAAGGAGATGGGTAATGTCACGGCGGCGGTTAAAAATAAACGAACGCACCGCGCGCGAGCCATGGATCCTCCTGGCATCGCGCGCGGGCAGATCCTCGTGTGAATTAAGATGCGCAATGCATCGGTACCCGCGACTTCTTGTTCCGCCCGTTACACTTTGAATACAAACTCGCCGCGCCGGAGCCGACGAGCGAGTCCTCGGAACGTCCGTCGTTGCTCCACGGCGTGTGCTCGTGTACTTTTGCAACGCTACGATATTGCACGTTTAACCTCTACATTGTTATCGATTAGTCAAATTCGCCGGCTTGGAGCTAATTTGTGCAGCGTGCATTAATATCGTGGGCTTTTTTTACAGGGTGAAGATTTCCAAATGAATCGAGTAATTTGATATTCATGTTTCATTTTTTAGACGTCCACCCTAGAAATACGCGAACTATTATCGACGACCCAGATAGATTTTCATGATAGCCACGACGTGACACAGTCGATGATGGAAAAGTGTGTGTGTTCTACAATTATTTTAATAAAATTTGTGAAGCAATAGGTAAATCATTAAATTTATACTTACGAAACAATATTGAATTAATCATGAAATTTACATTTATGAAGCAAATATATTGAATTAATCATTAAATTTATACCATACAGTAATGTAAACTCTTTGTTATATTGATGCAGCAATAAAGTTATTAAGAATTTTATTCAGATTTTCATGCTTCATTTCACATGAAGCGCGGTATGCAGTATGTAAGCTTAAACTTCCATCTTCATTTCTTTTCAAACGTAGTTTACGTGAGTTGGTTTATAACTTGTATAGTTATAGCCAATTTACGTATAGGAGAGAGTTGTTTACTAGGAAAAGCTGGCAAAACTGATTATTTTTGCTATTTTTTAACAAGTTACAAAATTAAGCAAGTAAAATTTTTAAACATATCAAAGATAGCTTTGAAATTCTTGCTTGGTTGAATCTGTCGAAAAACAGTAGAAATAATTTATTTCACCAACTTACTCCAGTCAATTAACATCGGTCTATCCTACTTGTCTATCTGGGAAGCGAGAAGATTTGATTTTTGTAAAATAAGAACCGTCTTGCGGTTTCTGTTTTTATCTTAGAACTCGAAAGAATCGATTGGAACAAACGGTATGAATCGTTTGGCCCGCGAAACTATTATTGGTGATGAGACGAAGGATACACAGAACGACATCCGTATTTGAAGAATCGCATGCCAATGGGATGAAGTTACGGACGATTCTCAGAGAACGGCCCTCAGAGAAGCATCCTCGTTAGAAGTATCCTCGCGTGCTACGACCACGTTGTTCGCTTTGTGCGAGACAAGGTAACGGTTTGATCCGGTCGCCCGATGTTAATTAATGTTTTGTTATTCGACATCGATCACGCAGCTCGCTCATCGGTAACGGTGAACTCTTACGAAAATCTCAGTATTTCTTTTTTTTTGTTATGATAATATGGCCGAAGGAGTAGTCTCGTGACTTACGCAGGCACACCTCCTGGTCTGACCTTCGCTTCGACCGTTGGAAAGAAAGCAAACGAACCTGAGCGAGTTTCGCCACACGGCAGATTCCAATAAAAGTATCTAGAACGACATCGCGTCTTTCATACGGAAAAGAAGAAGAAATCTAACCATAGAAGTGACGTTTTGGTGATGAGAAATTTACTTCGTGAACCGTTTTAACCGGAGTAGCGATGTAACTTGTTGATCTGAGCTAGTTGTCAACTACTGTAGACTAGATTAAATTTTCTAGCTTGTCATTAGTTTGTTACTGACTGATTATTCACTGAAATGTAGAATCGGTTTTGTGAATCTAGCAAATGTCCGACTATTTCATATAAAATATAATAGAATAGATATAATGCTGTCTATTCTAAAATAAAATCTAGCTACTCTATCAGCATTTCAAATTAGGTAGCAAATTAAAATTGAAGTTCTGTTATTTTATAAAAGCGGAAGTGAGCGTTACGTTACTTAATTGGCAACTACATAGAAATGAATATTCTGGTTTGAGAAGTATCTTTATTTTTGACATGTTAATCTTCAAATGAGATTACATAGTATTAAACGAAGATAAATTACTTGAACGACTATATTATTTAACACATAAAAAAAATCTGTTTTTATTATTTAAAAATAAGTGTCGTTAATAGAAAGTACAAGATATAATGTTGATCATCAATCAACGAAATTATTTGTGATCTTATATATGACGACTGATTAATATAGATTGTTGATTCTCCGATTATTTCAGCTAAAAGAAATTTTAATCGATTAATCGCCCGACATTGCTAGCTAGTGGTGGCAATGTTAGGCATAAATTCACCACCTTCGATAACCGTTCGATAACCGGCACGGCCCTAGCGAATAACGACAGCGCCGAAACGACGGACACTCGTAAATGACAAAGAAAAGCTCGAGACGGAAATTTAACGAGCCGTTGTCCCAAGTGTTTCCGACGTGGGTGTTGAACGGGTTGACCTTCGTTTCGGTCGACGAGGGGCAGAAAGAAAAACGAAATAATTAAGGAGCGCAGGCTCGGTAAGCGTCCCCGTGTCGACGAACCCTTCGAGATTCCATCAGATTCGCGCGTAGGCAGAGCGGTGTCGCGCGAGTTTTACGATGGCGCGATATCGTTGATGAACTTGCTATCGACAACGGGACCGGCGGAACGTGGCTTAATGGAAAACGACGATCGAGATGACAGACGCGATCGTAAATCGGTTTTTAATGAGCGATATAACTCGCAGTAAAAGAGCGCGCTCGTTAAACCCAGAAGGATCGTTGGCCAACGTTCTCTGGCGCGAGAAATAGTATTGTCGTAAATAAATTAAGATACTTGGATAGGTATTATTAGCACACATTGTCGGTTGAGCTCGGCGTCGCCATCAAACTATCGTAGGTGAAATAATGGACTTCAATGGCAAACCCGTGTTCGTAAAATATAATTACATTCGTTTCTCTCTCTCTCGTTCTCTCTCTCTCTCTCTCTTTCTTTTTCTCTCAGTTTCAACAATTTTTCACGTTAACATTAATCAACTAGTGCGCTAAATAAACAACTGCTATAGCTCGCCGCGTTATGAGAAAAAAGAATATCGTTCAAAAAAAGAATATCGCATCTTAAAATTGCAAAATCGGTGAATTGTCCAAACTGGTTGATTTTTTCACGAGGTTAAACCACTTCACTTCCATTGCGAGTATCGAAAAGCAAATTAAATCCATCGCATGTTGTATTTAAACTGATATATTCTTGCATGTCCCCACAATATAACTCACACAATCCATTGCTTCTATTACTTTTCCGCGGTAATACGCGAGATCCACGCAGTGTCACGTGTATCAAGTCTGACTATTATCTGTTGTCTTCCAAGGAAGACTAGCGATCGATGGAGTAAATTGGCTGTCATGAAGCCGCGAAACTAATTATAGGCAATGCAATGTTTAGATGCTGGAAACAAACCGGTAAACAAGTTGTCTGTTCACATAATTCTGACTTTCTCACCGTTTCTAACGACCGTCCCCCACTGTGTGCATCTCGCTTAAACTTTGAAGTAAGAATTATTAATTCACGTCATGAAAGCAACGCGGCAATCGACGGGCTAGAATCAACTAGTTAAAGAACGGGACGCGATGATCGTCCTGTTGAATGAAGAACTTAGTGAAGTAATGAAGTATTTAATGAAATAATAATATTTATTTCGATTTTTGCTCAGAATAGAAACGCTCGCGAAACGATAATGTTGTTCATCGATCACACGAGTGCGCCATCGTCAAAGATGGATTTTATTAGAGAATATCGCAAGGGCTGCGAACGAAGAGAGAAGAAAATGACTCACCTGTGCGACGGACAGATGCCTCAGAAAAATCGCGACTGAGCCCGTACGAGCTTAAGCTCATATATATCCAAGTGGGCCTCATTAGAATTCAGGTGCACGGGCCCCCGCACGATTGGCTGGTTCGTCGACCCTCTACCTCCCGTTGACGACGTCTCGGCCACGGGGACGCAATACGATCCCTCATCGCGGCCGCTCGTCATTCGCATTTTTGCAAAGCCAAAATAGACACCCCACCGGCACACAAACGTTATGTAGACGTTTGATAGATGTTCGAAATGTAATGTTCGTAGAACGTGCGAATGTCCACCTGGTCAAACGTTTGCTCGCAAACGGTTATCGCGGAGCGTTTGACAAACGTCCTTGCGACGTTTCTGAAATTTTCCTAAGTAACGCGTCCCGCAAAAGACGAAACGTACATAGCAAGACTTATTTTAATTCGTGTATTTAAATGTAGAAGCCTAACCGAGGGCTAAAATTTACTTAGGTCGACTTTCTAAATGGTACTGTTTCTAAAAACTGTTTTGTGTTTTGTTTTTCCCTTATAACCTTTTCCAACTTCATCGACTCGCAAGAACATTAATAGATATATATTTCTCGACATTGTCTACAGCAGTTTAAATAAAAGGCGTTGAATTTTTATCGTTTTTACGGAAGTTATGAGCAAATAAAACTGCGTTCAGTAAAATTTATCCGTGTTTAGGATTTACGTAACTTTTTGATGCTTAGGGTTTTAGAGTTAAGGCAGAATTCACTTTAAGAAACATTTTGTACGACTGACTTTCGGACTCTGGGATCACATAGCAAAAGAAGAACAAGACACTTCAAGAAAAAACTTCAAGAAAAAACAAAAGAAACAAGAAAACAAATTTTGAGAACAATAACTATCTGTAGATAAAAAATACAAAAAGAAAATGATTTGCTACTCAATATTGGCAACAGCATTGTTCTTGACAAATTTTCTTGATTTCAACCAGTCGTTTATTAAGTCTTGAACTGTGTCTGTGTTCACATCATTGCGAAGTTTTTTTATTGTAACTGCGGACAGGTTAGCTGCCAGTAAGGCGCATTCGTGTCGTTTATAGGAAGCAAGAAAGAACCAGAGAGAACTGGCTCTTTACTCAGAGCGTGCAGATGATTCCCTGGTATGGAAAAATATCTTAGAATTTTTTATACAATTTCTTCGAATTTTTATAAAAATTCTTTTATAATTTTGTAAAAAAGAGTTTTTCTCAGAAATTTTACAGATTTTTTTATACGAATTATAATGTACTTTAAAAAAATTCAGATGGAAATTATGAAAACAGTGCAGTATATATATTTTTCAGCATTTCTAAGATATTCCCAGAGTTCTACATTCCTAAGAAAATCTAAAATATTTTTGTGAGGTTTCAAAGTGGCTAATAAAAAATATATATGTCTATGCCCGAAATTCGACGATATGTCACACCCACGTAATCCATGTGTGCCCTTTCCTTTCTCGCCGATAGTAAGAAATCTTCCCTTGTAATTTAGGAGAAATTGAACGGGGGAAACGCTCGCTTACCATCGAACGTCCACGAACGGTAAACATCAGAGAGCGAACGTTTGGAAAAAATTGCAATAGCGCGATATACAGGTAGGTTGTTCTCGATAACACCCACTTTATTTGACACGTCATTCAGATACTGTGTTATCGACATCAAAACTTCACGCTTAGCTTCTAAATAGAGCACAGTGTCATGCGATACAATCATCCTTGCAATTCTTTCTTCTATACACGAGAAGTGTTGTGTTATGATTTTACCGCAAAATTTTCTTAGCAAATAGTCTTATTTCTTAGTAAAATCTTAAAAGCCTTGAATTCTAACTAACAATAGAAATAGGTGGCTTCCACACAATAAAGCTCTTGCGGTATATCGTTTATTAATACATTATACAATTATTGCGATTCAATTCGATCATATATACTATACCACTTTTTCTTTAATAATAGAAGTATTATATGTGATATTACCACAAAGTTTTCGTATTAATTAATTTTACTAATTAAGCCTTGAATCTTGACGAATAATAGAAATATGCGATTTCTTCAATAAAGCTTGCGGTATCATATATTAATATCTTATTTCATTACTGCGAGGTAATACGATTACTATGCGATTCTTTCTTTAATAGGAGTTAAGTTACGATATTAGAAATTTATTATTAATTAAACTTACTAATTAAACTAAGTAGGAATTTACTACTGACATCAAAGTGGCCCAGTACCAATTTATGGTAAACGTCACTGGCATAGTACCAGATGTAGTAGTAGTGTGATAGTACGGGTTTAGTATTGGTATAATACTGGGATGATAGGAAAGAGCCAGTATCGGAAAACAGTACTGTCACAGTACCGAAAATCAGTACTGTACCAGTAAAAAAGTATTGATTCCTAGCACTGGGGAAGTACCTATTCCCAGTACTGGGCCAGTATCAATTACTAGTAATTTTTATTATTTGTACAATTGTTAATATCACAACTATATAGTATGGAAAGAAAGATCAGACCATGGCGGGGCTGTTCTCTCATTTATACCTATATATGTCTATTTTTAATAGTCATATGAGGAAATAGTCTTTGGGGCGACGGCTGGAATCAAGAACTCGAGTTTTCCGCTTCTTACCACTGAGCTATCTAGGTTTCGCGTTAGTGAACTCTTCCATTTCCCCATAAAGGACATTGGTATCGTCCATTTTTTAGTACCGACACAATACTGGCCCAATATCCTCTATTGGCAGATTGTATACGATTCTTACTTGGATATCCAGTATGGACTTCTACGAACAGGGCCAGTAATAGCCTTTTTAATACTGGGCCAGTACTGAAAACGACAAACACTTTTCAGTAACGCCCCAGTACACGTACAGTACGATTATCCAGTACCTAACCTTAGTACGGAGTCAGTACCAATAATACAGCTTTTTTATATTAGGCTCAGTATTGAGCCAGTAAAACCGGACATCCGCTTTTCGGTATCGACCCAGTATCGGACCATTTTTCCGTACTGGTTTCCGTACGATTCCTACTTGGGAAGTGATTTCCAATAAAGCTTGCAGTATCATTTATTAATATCTTTTTTAATTATTGCAATGCGATTTGATTATCACGCAATCTTCTTTTCAATATGAACTGTTATGTTGCGATATTATCGCAAAATTTTCTTAGTAATTAAATTTTCTAATTAAGTTATGAATTTTGATGAATGATAGAATAGAATCAATATATATATAGGTGATTATTTCTTTAATACGCAAAAAGAATTATATTGTGATATTACTACAAAGTTTTCTTATTAATTAATTTTTAGTTTTTTAATTAAATCGTGAATTCTGACAAATAATAGAAATAAATGATCTCCAATAAAGCTTGCGGTATCATTTATTAATATCTCATTTAAATACTTCGCGTGCGAAGCACCGTCGCACCATTGCTTTCAATTTCCATCGGTTTGAAACAATAACAGAAATATTCTTCATAACCACCTGGCAGGTAATCAAACAGCTGTTAATATTGACGCATTCGATTGTCGTTTACCATTACGCGTTAATGAATGCGTTTCCAACAACCAATGGAACCGTGCAAATTCGGAATGTTATCTACTGAGGTGAAATATGAGCGATACAACTTGCAGGTGTATTCTTCTCCTTCGTGACCTCTTATGCAAGGTGTGTTCTTGCTATTGTTATCAACACTTTTCGTAACGCTTATCTTGTCAAGTTTGCAAAACTTCGCGTGAAGTACTAATTAAAAAACACGAATAACAATTTATCGTGATTAACAATCGACGAGTATAAAGGAGTTGATTAACAGTGCTACATTTTTCGCGACTGTTTATTCGTTCTCGAGTCAAATACTTCTCACTTAATTGTCCAAATTACGCAAGCGATCATATAATGTTGGTACAAGTGAAAACATCTTTGACCTCCGTGGTAAGACATTATTTCAAGGCACCTCTGTTATTGAGTTATGAGAATTACGTATTTTGGCTTCCGCTGCATTGTTAATGCATTATTGATTAGCACAAGATGCGGAAGAGTCAAGACACACATATAAGCGAGCCATAAATTATTAAATTCTATTTCTGTAATTTTGTTCCTACATAGCCATCTATAATTACACGTAATCATACATGAACACATGTATAATAAATTTCAATGTTTTTTAAGTCTGAAACTTTTCCGCTATTATCTTGATGATTGATTTACTATTTGGAAGTAATTGTCCCTTAACGGATGTTCTGCTGTATCACATTGGATATCATTGTAGATGGCAGAGACGAGATCAAAAGATTACAAAAATTTAAGAAATTCGATAGTTTTTCCTCAATCATTTCAATAAGGAAAAAAGGTACTATTGCGTTCATTATAAACTTTATAGCCAAAAGGACATGCACGACATTCTGCAAGTATCTCGAGAGTAGTAACCAGTTGTCACAGTCATGCCTGAACAAAAAAGAATATATATATATAATTACACAGAAAAAAAAGTTTAACTGTGTTCACATGAAATTGGTTGTAATGATATATATCTACACGGAAAAATTGCTGTCTGTTTGGAAAAAAAAGAAAATAGTTTCTTTCAACTAAACGTTGACATCACGCGCTGCTACAAACATAAGCAGTTACTTTAATTGTACTTGCACAAGGATATTTCTTTCCATGTATACATATATATGATTATATATAATTATACGTGACCGTGTCGAAACAAAATTACAGAAATAGACGTATAGAAATTCACGTATAATCATATGTATAATTGTTTTTTGCTCGGGTAGCTCGAGATTTCCTATATTTCGAGGTAGTGTGCCCACAGAATTTTTGGCCTATAAATTCACATGTTCATTCACGCGTGGATCGCGCGAATGGAGAATGATGGGGACAGATCGCGAGCGAAAAAGTCTCTGTTTGCTTTTTCATCTCTCTTGACTTCATATTCAAGAGCGCGTTTTTTGCGTTCAACCGTCACGCATTGTTAACGTCGCTCATGTATTTTTTTCCCTTCCTTTTCTTTTTACACGTTGCTGCCAATAACGATGGAAAGGAGAGAACACGAGTCTATCGTGATGCACGACCAAAAAGACATCGCGGTTTTATCGACGTCAATTTGAGGAAAAAGGATTCGACGGCGATACCGTTCGACGCTCGGAGGATGATCGCCCGGCTGCTTTTCGCGCATTGACAATGAGCAAATTTGTCAAATCTCACCATGTTGTATGGAAGATAAAATTATACAAAGTAACATCGACAATTCCAACGCGTTAAGAGATAAAGAGTTAACAATTGCAATAAAAATCGCGTATAATAAAGAAACTGTATGTTAAATGAAGAATAAGATGCGAATTTGGTTGAAAATGAAAGAATACTTAAAACGAAGAATACATGAATTTGTGCTAGCGTGACATGTTTAAAGAGAAATGTTGTTTAGAGTTAAAATTTTGTAGAAAGAATTAATAAGCGTTTAAATGTGAATGGTGAATAGTTCGAATATTTAATAAAATAAAAAAAAAAACGAAAATTATGAAGCCTTTTATTTAATTTATGATTTTATATCATTAGTTTAAATACACTCTACTCTAAAGTTTAAATGTTTATAACTTTTAATAGAATCATTTTTCAAAGAAATGTTCCAGATAAAATTTACTTCTTTTTCCGTAAAATTCAAATATGTAAAATTTTATAGGAGATTTTATTTGAAATTACAGTTACCCCTCGCCGACCTTGAATACATAAAACTCTCACGAAAAACTTTTTGATACGACAAATATTTTTAGAATATTTGGGTTGTCACACTTTATGTGGGTCACCCTGTAAATATATATATATATAGAGAGAGAGAGAGATAGATAAATAGATAGATAGATAGATAGATAGATAGATAGATAGATAGAGAGAGAGAGAGAGAGAGAGAGAGAGAGAGAGAGGAGGAGAGAGACAAAATATATATATAATTGTATGTAATAATTTTTCTCCGGGAATTGAATTGAACCACTGCGTGACTCCGGGGGAGGATATTCCACCGCTGCGCTTTGTTACCGCCAACAGCACAATGACGTAAATGTGGTGTGCGGGTGTGTTAACGCACGATATCGCATTAAACTTTCTCGATTAAGAATGAACGGAGAGTTTAACGCCGCTTCGTTCCACTCCGGAAACATAATTTGTAATCGGCCGGGAGGGTGGAGCGCTTTCCCGATTATCCCGAGAAGTTTTCGGGACTGGACACATTATTATCGCGCGCGCGCGCGCGATGCGTATTTTACGACAAGTTGGAAAAGCGGCTGACGGGCCGACCTGTGTTCGTCTGCCACGGACGTTTTCACGGGCTTTTGAATGTGGGATGAATATCGGCTCGCTCGCTCGCTCGCTCGCTTCTCAACGCCGCGGAGTCGAGCATTATATCGCCTTCGCATTTACGGAGCTGTCACTGTCGGCTCGCGCTCACCGCGTTATGAAAGGGGTATTATGTTTTAATAATGGACAACATCGCGCGTCGAATTCATCCGGTAGAGTGAAAACGCGTAACATTTATGTATTTTGTTCGACCAGCTTCGAATCGCATCGGCGTGATACGTACGAAGTGTGTGTACCTATGTGTCGGCCTTCGTTGCTTGTCGAAAGTTACGACGCTGGAGCGCTCTTTTTGTAGCCGCGCACATAGTCGCTCTCGTGGTTCAAAGCGGTAAATTAATTGTAGATTTACAGGATTAGCGGATGCGCCCACTTATTCACGCCGATGAACACCCGTTACGCAGTTGTTGAAAATATAAAGAACTCACGAGACTAAATGTTACTTTCTAAATTTCTTGGAGTGAAATTCTATTCGAAAGGCAAAGTAAAGGCAGGATCATTTGAATTTGAGTGATTTTTCGATCGTATAAAATGAACTCTCCACCCTGAATCGTCGAGTGAATATTTTCACTCAAAATTGAAGTGCAATTTTGATATACTCTCCACCGTTACAGAAACATGTTCGCTCCGATTGATTGAAACATTCGCTCATATCAAAATCCACTCTAAGCTTGAGTGCAACATCAACTCTTGCGATTTCTAGTGACAGTATTTTCGCTATCGCTTTGAGTGAAAATACCACCACTTCTCACTTGTTTTCAGTGAGATTCCGCCCCAAGAAATTTAAAAAATAACAGGAAAGAATTAACTAAGCAGTAAGGTAAATGTACTAATTTCCAAACACTTAATTCTGGATATTCTTATTATTTTTATTTTTAAATACGAATATATTTAAATTTTCAACACAATGCATGTATATATTTAATGCTTGTATAGTGGCGTAGTCAGAGGAGGCTGAGGGGGCTGCAGCCCCCTGAAATTAATTGTCTGGGTTACGCTAAGTACAAGAAAAATTTTTTTGAATGACCTTTTTTTTATTCGAAAAAAAATAAACAGCCCCCCCGAAACCTTTTTCTGGCTACGCCACTGCTTGTATATATATTTTATGTTTAAAGTTTAAATATTTATATTTTATATAAAAGCAAAACAAAAGAATGTCCAGGATTAAATATATGTCTGGGCACTGATATTTTTACCTCAATATAGGCGAGTTTTTTAATTCATCGATGGCTCTATCGCATGATGCGTAAATACAGCGAAACATTGCATTTGCGTATCACATGCGACGGATCCATCAATGAATTAAAAAACTCGACCTATATAGGAACTGAAATCGCAGATGGCGTGTGCAGAATGTACATATGACGTAATGGATGTCCGAACATTCTCTAGATCAAGAGTTACAGGATTTTTAGTTTTATATGTGTACTAATAAGATTGAAATTGTTATAATTAACGCCATTATTAATCGTTATAATTAACCCTATCATTATAATCAGAGTTACTTATACGATTTTCAACCTCAAATATTATATGTAAAGCTGAAAATCGTATAACCCTCGATCTAGTAAATGTTCGGGCATCTACCGTGTACATTGGAATAATAACTAATATATAATTATTTAATGCGAAAAGTTTTATCCTTGTATTTATTATCAAAGCCACATTAAAAATACACGCTTCAAGCGCTACAAAATAAAGCTCGTTTCAGAAAAAATATAAATTACAATATCTTGTAGTATTGCTATAGTTATCGCGTAAATGGCTTAGTAAATATTAGAAAAATAAAGTATAATGTACGTGGCTAGAATAAATAAATTACACGATAGTAATTATTAGAGATATTTTATATTGGGAATACTCAATTGTGTAAAGATACTGAGATGATGTTGCAGATATTTTTAAATCAATATCATTAGTTAAAGCTTTTAGAACAAAGCTCTGGAAACATAATTTTATATTTAATTGATTCAAGCAATATCAAATATCCAAATAATGATAAATAAAATTACTAGTATTAAAATTTAAATACTACTCAATACAGAATAATAATGATTATTTTCGCGATGAAGAAGTAGCGATATTGTCGAGATAAAACCGTAATTCTCCATATATTATAGGTTTATAAATAAACTAAGATTTTCTTGTATATAAATTATTATAGACCATTTTGTACGGAAGTTAGGTATTCATTGTATTTTTTTTCCTGTGCCTGTTGCAGCTTTTGCAGCTTCTTGAGTAAACCTTTACTTATCTCTTTACCTTCGGCATCGTGCGTTGGCAATCCCTACATAGAAAAAAAATAAAATGAAAGAAGTAATACGTATGTCACAATAATGATATCAATCTATATACTAAGACGCTCACTTTATCATCAAATTGAGAATATTTGTCCTTCTCTAATCTGAACATATCACTCGGTGATATTTTCTTTTGCGCCTCCTTTGTCGCCGCTGCAGCAGCAGCCTCCGCCTTCCTTCTCTCTTTTTCCAAGGCTTTCTCGTGTTCCAAATTCTTCTTCATTTCTTTCTCCCTTAATAACTCCTCCTTATTAACTAATTTCACTTTGCAAGTTTCCTCGTTGCTATCTTCCAATCGCACCCCAACATTCGGTAAAATATCGTCACGCAATGAATCACACTCTTGCAGAATATCATTTGCCTTCAAAGTTTTCGCGCAATTTCGTACTTTCTCCCGGAAATTCGCGAGGATTTCAAGGTACGGCATAACTGTCTCTTCAACCTGAAAGATTTGTACACAGAAATTTCAATAATTAAAAGCTTCTCAATGTGAGTATATGTCAATGCATTTGTCTTACATTTGCACCAACTGTCTCATCATCGATTGGAAATCCGATAGGATCGTATGTTGAAGATATGGCTCCAAATATAGCAAATATTTTTGTAATATACACAGCAATATCCCTGAGAAGAAGCGTATTCGGATTTTTATTTTGACTCATATACACATTGCAATCCGTCACCAATTCTCGTATTACATCAAGGACAGTTCTTGTATCAATATTATCTGTAACAGATTATATTTTGTTACTATATATTTAAGGCTCTTGGCCTCTCGCATTGTCTATCTCTTTTTAATGACGTCAGAAGCGAGAAAATGGAAGCTAAAAATTCTTGCAAAATACATTAAAATAAAAATATATATATCCATAGAGTAACACTTGCAATTAATTAAACAAATTTGTAAGATATTCCGTGCACTCCCCTTTTGCTCTAACAATCAATAATTTATTATAAATTAACCTAAAAAGAAATAGGCGAAGAAATAGGTTAAGAAGATGAATTATATATGTTATTGGAAGCCAAGGAGCTTTAATAATATATTTAATATTTAAATTTATCTAGAACTATTATTAAGGGCACAAAAATTACCGAAATATCTAAAAGACTTACCACACAATGCTTTATGTACGGAATGCTTAGCAATATGAAACTTCTTATTGAGTTCCATTTCAGAATCAGTCCATTTAGCAAAACTATCAATAGAAGTTTTCCTGCCTAAACTCCTAATTCTACATTTGACATTTAAGAAGAATTCCTGGAAAAAGGAGCATTGATATCGTTAGACGTTCACATTTCAAAAATTATAAATATATCAATAATGAGACATTAAATACACATTGTAACTTACGTTAAGGAACTTTTCATATTGTACAGCCATACTCATAGTGTTATCGCTGTAATCTAATGTGTCTTTCCACGAGTGCAGGAGGAACGCAAGTCTCAACTGTCTCGCCGAGTGTTTCTTCAAAACATCTTGTATCGTCACGAAATTCTTCAGCGACTTGGACATCTTACAGCCGGCTATTGTTAAGTGGCCCGAGTGTAAGAAATATCTCACCCAATGTGAATTGTCAAAGTATGCTTCCGCTTGAGCAAGCTCATTATCGTGATGGGGAAATTTGAGATCCACACCACCCGTATGAATGTCCAGACTCTCTCCGCAAATAACAGACGCCATAACTGAGCACTCGATATGCCAACCCGGACGTCCTTTGCCCCAAGGGCTGTCCCACCAGGGCTCACCCGCCTTTGAGCTCTTCCAAAGTGCGAAGTCCGTCACGGATCTTTTCTCGGAGAGTTTATCTTCCGTAACACTCAAGTCGCCTGTCCGAATAAGCGAAAAAATAATATTAGAAAATAACAATGAATTAAAAATACAAAGACTATCTCAACTTAAAAACTCTAACTTACCTTCACCTTCCTGTAAGCTCGACGTATCACCGTATGCTTCAGGTACAAGCTTAGCATAAGAATGCTTCTCCTGTTTGTCGAACTTGCTCACATCAAAGTATACCGATCCGTTACTTTCATAAGCAAGTCTATTATCAATTATTCGCTGTACAAACGCTACTATCTCGGGAATATATTCACTAACTCTTGTCAGGACATTCGGTTTTAATACCTGAATAATTATGGATTAAAGTTAATATTCATAAATTAGCTTCGTCTTAAAAATATCGATATTGTATTTAATCTTACATTTAAAGCATCCATATCTTTATGAAATTCTGACTCCCAATGTTGAGACAACTTATTGAATATCGAATGCTCTGTGATAGTACTGCCTTTCTCTTTATCCAACCAATCAGATAACAGATCTTTAACCTCTTTCAACAATACCTACATACATACAAATAAAAAATGCAAATAAAATTAATATTATAGAATATTATAGAAAAAATAACTTTAGAAAGAATTATATATATATATATATATATATATATATATATATATATATATATAAAATTATGCATTATAAATTAATCATTCTTACTTCCTGAAGCAACACAATTTGACTTTCATCTTTTTCTGTTACAGCTTTCTCTAAATTTTCAATAACTTTTGTTAGTTTGCTGAGCATCTTCTCTAACATGCACTTCTTGTCGGAGTCAGTTATAGTTTCCATAGTATTTTCAAAATTAGACATTACTCGTTTAGCATCGGCTAATATATTATTAAGGTTGTGATTTTCTTTTACATACTTTTCATACAAATAATTCTGCCTTGCTCTTTTGATAATCTTATCATCTATATCAGTAATATTCATTACATACAAAACATCGTATCCAAAATAGTCTGACAGTACACGACGTAGAATATCAAATGATATATACGATCTGAAAAAGAAAAAGTAAATCTGGATATTAAACATTCTTTTTTTTTCTATAAGATTGACATATCAAAGTCTATAGACTATCGGCAAGACTTATTATGACTCCTATGCTTTACGAATGCTGCACTGCCTCAAAGAAGTTAGTAAAATCTTCTTAGTATATTATGAATACTTCCTCAAATGCAATCTTTTTCTTTCTATAGTGCAGAATTTTTGTGAATCATATATGTCTCATAATAATACTCATACATAGTTACATATATTATGTTATCAAACATTTTACTTATATATTGAGAAAAATATACGTATTTAAATTATTACATCTACAATAATATAAAACACAAATAAAAGTCACATAAGAAATACATTGTATTAAATTAAACCATATAAATACTTTTAGGAAAAACAAGCAATATATATTTGTGATACCTTGCATGGCCCATATGTGATGCATCATAAACAGTAGGTCCACAACTGTACCATAGTACACGGTTTCCAAATTGTGGGACAAATATTTCTTTTTTTCTAGTTAAACTGTTGTATAATTGGAGCACTGTGGTATCTTTTCTGTTTGGCAGATGCCAAGCTGGTTGCGTCCGCTTTGCCATCTTAAATTTCTGAAATACAACATATTGTAATTTTAATAAAAATATCATTTATCTTTGTAGTTACTGCATGAACTCCTAATTAAATTAATATGTTTTCTTTGAAAACTATAAAACATATAAGTTGTGCTTTTCCAGATGTTTAGGAAATTATCTTGCAGTTTTCTTTAAAAGAAAACCTTAATTTATTATAAATTAATTTATTTTCAAATATATTTCCGAAAAAAAAATTAAAAAAATATTCTTTTATTCAATATACATATCTAACATACCACAGTTTATTCGATTTCACAAAAATCCACAGTTGACGTATATGATGTTATAAAGTAGGAAGTTGTACATCATACTAAAAAGAAGGAAAGAGACTGAGCTCATAGGCTGGTTTTAAGGCCCTTGCACAATGCCAGGCTACAGGCAATAGAAATAGACATTAGCCAATAGGAACAGGGAATAGAAATAATTGACCAATCCGAATTCCTATCCCTTTTCAATTGCCTGTTTCCTGACATTCTGCAAAAGCCTTTAGCCACTGAAATATTGCTGCGTTCCGAAATTCACTGCCAGTACTGAAATTCTATAATATACGTAACATAAACTATAGATTTTCAGTACTGGCAGTGCATTTCGGAACGCAGCCATATACTACCTGTAGAATCCCTATATAAAAAGGAGTGTGTGGCACACACACTTACATCAAAAAAGCTTCGGCTGACCAGCATGTATTACTACTTATTCAGTATTACTAATCCACAGGAATTTAATTTGAGTTACCTAGGGATTTTCGCTGGTACCAACGCTATTCTCTTCCTTTTTATGGATTTGTCGTGTAACCGTTGGATTGACAGTTTTTCTAACCTTAAAAGTGATCAACTTTATCAATTAATATCTCGCTTCACCGTAAAGAACAACGATTTTGGCTTTTAGATTCGGTTTCTACGTGCAAAAATATATTATCCTATATAATTACCACTTACTTTCCTTCTTAATTACCCAAAAATATTTATTTTTTAAGTAAAAGTATAAATGAATTGTATATTATTAGAAAGTGTGTGAACATATGTCTGAGAAACAAAATAGAGAATTTTTACTATATAGTCTTTATATATAGTAAACGTTAAAGCCAAGTCTAAAGACAAAACTGTATATTTATGGGAGTACAAATAAGTCTTCGCCGTTTGACAAAAGATGGCCCCACCAGTAAGTTATGATTGAAATTGTCAGATGTAAAATCGTAAGGTCTTATCGTAAGGTTGGACATCTGGCAACACCATAACCTTGAAATATTAGCGATTTTGTATCAGCATCACATAATTTTTTTCGTGCGAAAATGTCGAGTTTTGAGCCGAATAAGCGTCATTTGCGGGAACTTTTGATTTACTTCTTTAATTTGAAGAAATCTGCAGCTGAGGCGCATCGATTGCTTGTAGAAGCATATGGTGAGGCTGCTTTAAGTGAGAGAAGTTGTCGTGAGTGGTTTCAAAAGTTTAAGAACGGTGAGTTTGACGTCGAAGACAAAGAACGTAGCGGAAGACCGAAAATGTACAAAGACGCGGAATTGGAAGCATTGTTGGAGGAAGATTCGTGCCAAACGCAAGAAGAACTTGCACTTACACTAGGAGTGACTCAACAAGCAATTTCACATCGTTTAAAATCGTTAGGAATGATTCAAAAACAAGGACATTGAGTTCCATATGAACTGAAGCCGAGAAACGTTAAACGCCGACATTATTCATCATAACACTATTCAGATAATGTGCGATATTACTTCTGAGAGAACAGTGTCCAGAATGTAATGCTATAATATTTAGCATATTTGAAAGATGATGTTGCAAAAATTTTCTGATATTTTTATGCTTAATAATTTTTATTCAATTTTAATTTTAGTTCAATAATTTACTTGACACAGTTTATTGTAAAGGAGGTCTACTGTTTTCTCCAGATAGGTCATCAGTTATTTTTCTACCTATGCAAATTCATGATACATTTAGACTTTTACTTTCAACTAATTACAATAACGACAGTGATTTTAGTAAAATTTGGAAAAAGTGCCGATTACTAGATAATACGTACGAAATGTGTTAGTGACAGGTCCTAAGTACAGGACCTATCTTATTACAGTACTTTCCTTAGTAACACTATCGGCTGATATATAATGACAAAAAATAGGAAAAGTATCGGAAACACAATTCTGCTGTAACAATCGATCTTCTGAGAGTATGTCTTACGCGATTACGTTATTTGGCACTCAACATCCAGCTACACTGTTGGCAGTAGATGCCGATTGCTGGTTTGCTTGTTTTTCGGTTTAGTCGCGTAAACAAATTGGTCCTATGGGTAATAGAATTACAATTTATGACTTAAAGAAGTAAGTACAATGTAACTAGTACAATGTACTAATGTTTATGTAAATTACAACTTTAATTGTATATTATAGGTTATTATACAAAGCAAAGGAAAATTTGTGATACAAGTGATATAAGAGCGTATATTTTACAGAGAGTTTGCTACGAGATAATGATGTAGAAGGGGAAAAGGGTACAGAAGAAGATGCTGCAGAAGAATGTTCTTGATGCGGCTAATGAAATCAAAATGCTAGCTTACAAGAAGTTGGCGCGTCATTACTTAGCAGATGAGCCTCGAAAGTATGACAAGGATGTAAGACTTACTGCAGCTGCCTATCATCGAGATACACATATATTGATTGTTGGATTCAATAATGGTTTCTTTTATTTATACAAAATGCCTCAATGACGTCAATGTGATTCATTCATTGAGATACGAGATAATATCTAATTCTTAAAGGAAAAATATATAATCGATATAATGTTATCTTTATATAGAATTATATTGTGTTATCATATGTACATATATATGTGTATGTATATGTATGTATTCATATATGTATGTGTATGCATATGTACAACTTATACAGGATGAAGCACATACACATTGGAATTACTTTGATAATACTATAAATATTGATTTTAGCGAAAGTTGATTTAAATGAATATTGTTTAATTTAAAGGGGACTATGCAATGTATTATTTTTGCAATGTAAATTTTTTGCTTGTAGTTTTCAAAATTTTAAAATCATCCATTTTTTAAAAGGAAAACAATTTTTATTCTGTAACAAATGATATAGATGATGTTAAAACAAATTCAACCATGTTAAACATTTAAAACGCCCCGATTTATTGTATTTTTAAATATAACAAAATTTTTGAATGTAACCATCGTCACTTCTAAAACAAAGTGATTTCAGTTGTGTGCTTCATCCTAATAGATTTTATTTATATCGTTTACACTCAATTTACACTAATGAGTTACATGTTATTATTGGTTTTGTCTTACAGTATTTCTCGATTTCATCAATTGCTCTAAATTCTACTGGTGATTGGATAGCTATAGGATGCTCTCATGCTGGACAATTATTAGTTTGTGAATGGCAGAGCGAGACATATGCCATGAAACAACAGGGACACCGAACTAATATGAATTGTCTGGCATATAGTCTTGACGGCCAGTACATCGTGACTGGTGGCGATGAAATGAAATTATGAAATACAGTGAAAAAATGAAATTATGGAATTATGGATACAGTGAAAAAATGAAATTATGGAATACCAGTGTCTGGATTTTGTACGCTCACATTCCACGAATATACCTCGGCTATTTCGGATGTGCTACTCAGTCATAATCGTAAATTCATCGCGTCTGCTTCGCTAGACGGAACTATTCGCGCATATGATCTAGTGAGGTACAGAAATATTCGTACTCTCACTCCGTCACGATCAGCGTAATTTACTTTTGTGGCGATCGATGCGAGTGACGAGTTTCTCGCGGCGGGTGACCAAGATTTCTTTGAGGTGTTCTTGTGGAGCATGAAACTTGGAACTCTCTTAGAGGTATGTATAATATTAGTAATCTGGATATATCAAATTATGATAATATTATACTAGACGGTTTTTTCGGTAAAATCTGCTGTAAACTTCAGGTATTAAGTGGTCATACGGGACCCATTGCGAGTTTGGCATTCAACCCCAATATTACTATCACAGAATTAGCATCTGTATCCTGGGATAAAACGTTGAAAATATGGAATGCCATTGAGCATGATTCCGCACATGAAACTATGATGTTAATGACTGACGCGTTATGCGTAACTTATAAACCAAACGGGGAAGAAGTCACGGTCGCCACGTTGGACGTTCAAATTTTATTTTTCGATTTAGATATTGGATTGATGTTCGATTCCTTCGAGTTACATCAGACACGGTAAAGGAAACGCTTGAAAAGCAAGACTATGCCAAAGGTATAATTTTATATTAGATTAGCTTAACATTAATAATAATAATAATAATTATACATGCAATCAGTGACGAGCGTAACCAACGATATTTTTCTTTTAGCATTGATGATGGCGTTGAAGTTAAACGAGCAGTTATTGACGCAACAAGTTTTAGAAACTGTTCCATACAAAAGCAGTAAGTCCATACATGAATATCTTTGAAACGCGCTATTGATTTCATTAATAATTTCATGCACGATAGATATTGGTTTCACCGTTTTACTATTACAGTTGGATTAACGACAGCGAGTATACCAGATGTTTACATAGAGAAGTTATTGAAATTTATAGCATCCGAACTGCAATCAACTAGACATATACACTTTTATCTTCTCTGGGTAGAAGTAATCCTGACAAAATGTGGGTCATAGATTAATACTGCGCTTCAGATGCCAGTGTTGTTAATGTTGCAGAAGAATATGCAGAAGAAATACGACGACTTGAGTAAAATGTCGGTTTTACTGTATATTTGGAATTATCTACTGCACGTTAATATTAAACATTGGATAGATTTGGAATATTATTCTTGCAAGTGCGATTTTAACCAATATACGTTGAATACTGAGTGTAGGAGAACTAAAATCGACGGAAGACGTATCCGAACATACATGGAGTGACAGTGAGTCGGATAATGACGATTCGATTAATATCTTGAAAGATTCTTCCACGGATCTAGTAGATTGGAGCGAAGAAGAAAAAGAATAAATATTTTGGAAACATAAAATAGATTCAGCAACATGAATATTCTTAGCAGAACGAAGTGAGACAGAGGATCACTGATGTTTTGTCTCCTTTTCCGTTCTGCCAAATTCAATTTATTTCCTAAAGAAGTATATATGATATGTTGCATCTATTTATGTCTATGGAAGAGAAGTCACCAATTAGGCTTTTCATTGAAATTTTATAGAAAACGTTCTTTAATACTGTATATATATAATGTACATATAATAACTTTTTTATAAAATATATTTATTTTTTTTAATAAATTTTTATAAAATATAAACAACCCGAAAGAGAGAAAGAGAGAGAGAAAATATATATTTAATTTTTCTACCTATGCAAATTCATGATACATTTAGACTTTTACTTTCAACTAATTACAATAACGACAGTGATTTTAGTAAAATTTGGAAAAAGTGCCGATTACTAGATAATACGTACGAAATGTGTTAGTGACAGGTCCTAGGTACAAGACCTATCTTATTTATTACAGTACTTTCCTTAGTAACACTATCGGCTGATATACTAGTATAATGACAAAAAATAGGAAAAGTACCGGAAACACTACATTCTGCTGTAACAATCGATCTTCTGAGAGTATGTCTTACGCGATTACGTTATTTGGCACTCAACATCCAGCTACATTGTTGGCAATAGATGCCGATTGCTGGTTTGCTTGTTTTTCGGTTTAGTCGCGTAAACAAATTGGTCGTTCCAGACGCTCCTCTCCGTTGACGTCAGTCGCTGAAAATAAAATTAAAAAAATCCGAATGAAATTTACACAACACATTTCTCAAAGGTTTTGCTAGTTAACTCATTTTTGCGTAACATTATTTAGTTGATATCGTACGAGACTTTGAGATCGGTGAATAGACTCTTTTTCTATAATGAAAATTAGACTAAATACCAAGAACGAGCGAAATTTCACGGAGCTCGAATCATTTTTTACGTGTTACAAGTCGAGCACTTTGACTACACGAATTCGTCCAGGGCCGCGAATACAAACATCATACTGCCGGCCATCCAACGCCTACACGAGTAGTGTGTGAAGCTTTGTATCGAAGGAAAAAGTAGGTACTTACATAAAAGTAGAGATATTCAGCGCGTGTAAGGCCATTACAACGCTGGAGTACGTGCGTAAACTTACCTTGATATATGCTACGGGCGGGATATTGCTCTTAAGACCCGTGAACATCGTCACCAGAGTAAGGATGCTCAAGATCAGAAGAGCCACTCGACTAGGGATTGCATCCAGGCCCAGCCAGAAGCTGAACCAAGAGAGCATAACCATCAACGTCGACGGTGCGAACGTTTGTATTAAATGATGACCGATCTGTCTCTCGAAACGAAAGAAGACAACCAATCTCGAAAAATTTTCTGTAAGAATGATCTCTTAGATTTGTTTTTCTTTTATCTTCTCTCTTTCACGATCTTTTTATGATTAAATATTTATTACGATATAAATCATCGTGTTTTCCCACATAGCACAGAAGTTTCAGAAACATTGAACCTTTCTGAAATCTTCTTGAAATCTTTCTGAAAGCTTTTTGAAACTTCTGTGCTGTGTGGGTTCTTAAATTTTTTTAATTATACATGAATATGATAATACGCGTATGTTTATTGTACTAAAAAAAATAGTCTAAAAAAGGTATCTAAAACAAAAAATATTTAGAGTAAGTTACTAATAATATATTTACTTGAATCTTTTATCTAAGGTCCTTTTATCTAAATGGAATAAACATTTGGTTTTATGAAAACTACAGTTTTAAGGAAGTTCTTATTTGAACAAAACTTTTTCTTAAAATGTGTAATTACTGTATAATGTACCGTTTATACATCCGCGGAAAATAATTTTATCTGTTGTCTTTCTATATTTTATTTTTAAGTATCTTAATATATAGTAGTGAAAATACTGAATATTCTTGATTTTTCTTTCTCTTAATGTAAGAGTAATTATTGATAACCGAATTCGCGCAAGAGGGCGAATCCAGTTCTCGATTGAATCTCTTAAATATGAACTAAACAGTACGTGAAAATTAGATCTTAATTGCGCAGATATGTCGTATCGTTTTTTTTCTAGCATGTAATTTATAGTATCTTCGTGTACTGCAGGCTTCACAATGTCGTATTGTAACAACTTTAGCTCGGGATTCACTGTGACACCATCCCATTTTAAACGTCTTCTTTAAGCTTCTTCTTATTGTAGGAAGCTGCAACAGGTAACAACTCGACTTATTGTAACAGACGAGCGATTTATCGAGTTTGAGGATACGTTTTGCCTCATACACTTGTTGCGCAGGAAGAATTTGCACTTTGGAACATTGCCCACTTTTTCCGATTTCTTACAAACGAAACGAGGCATGTAAACTTGTAAGTATATGTAAGCGATAAAATACTTCATTCCAAATAACAATTATCTGCACCAAATTACAGGAAAATGATAAATCGTAAAGCGAGTTTATTGATCATTTCTACAAATGCAATGATAAATTTTGCTGTAAACCCTAATAGCACAGATGTCCAGAGACATCCAGAATATATTCTGAGGAAGTCCTGAAGATATTTCTTCGTCCTCAGGACGTCCTTAGGACGTCCTCAGGAGATTTTATGCTGTCTGGGAAAATACATTCCTTTTAACAAACGAATGATGATTCGTCTAAACATCTATCGATGTTTACATTACACCGTTTAAATTTTGCAAAAATCTTGAAACACATTTTCGTATTACAAAATTTTTTATCCAGTTGGAAAAAAGGAAATATTAAAGTCGAGTATATATCCTGCTTAAAAAATCCGATAAGGAGAGAAACTGATAGAAATATATATAAATTTCATTGAAATACTATGTGACTTTTAATTTGAATTCAAATTATTTTTATTAGAAATTTCAATTTCTCACTTTTCCGTTCATATAAAAAAGTTTCAAAAATTTTTCAATTGAAATGAAAGTCTATGATAAGTTTTAGAAAAATTTTCTAACATATAAGATAACTAATCTGATATTAATGAATAAAAAGCACGATTCGGTTATATTGATTTTTTATATGTAACTATCCGACTATTTTTTAAAACAAGATAGGTTTTTCTTGTGTAATTCTATCAAATCTCTTTTCAGCAGAGTGAAGTAACATTTTATCTAATATACATAGAAAGTTTGTGCATCACTGTTTGATTATTGTATAAATGCATTTTTCACTTTCGCGCTCACTCACAGCTCTCTATGTAAATCGGGCAGATCTGAATGTTCATTGGATACAGGTGAAACTCCATTTGGTAAGCGACAATGGCGTTAAGTTGAGTATAAAATTTTACTCCGAGACCAGAACCATTGGGAGCAATAACATCACCTAAAACAATCAAAATCAAGGTACACCTACCTCAAAATTCGCAAAAAATCATCTTCCACTCACTATATTTCGAGAAAAAAAATATTAAATATTTTTCCAACGCACTTTTAGTCGGTATATTGGATGCATTAGGAAAAATATTAAATATTTTTATCTCGAAATATAGCAATTGGGAGATGGTTTTTTTTCGTTTTATGCGATTTTTGAGATGATTTAACATAATTTTGATGTGTTTTAGGTAATTTTTTTGATTTCCTATAAAAGGACCGGTCAGAAATTCTAGCGTATTTTTGTGATGGAACAAGAGTGTTTTTGAGCGTTTTCACAGTATAAAACATTGCTTTTTTTAATAGTTTTGCTCTATTTTTAAGCTCTAATTCTTACAATAAAATAATTATATTTTTATCTCAATATATATCGATTGGGAAATGGATTTTTCTTAGTTTTTACGATAATTTTGAGGTGATTTGGCATAATTTTTGATGGTTTTTAGTGATTTTTATTTGTCTTACAATATATCGACTAAAAGTGCGTTGGAAAAATATTTAATTTTTTTTTCTCGAAATATAGTAAGTGAGAGATGAGTTTTTCTTAGTTTCTTTGTGAATTTTGAGGTAAGTGTACCTCGATTTTGATTGTTTTAGGTGATTTTATTGTACCCAATAATTCTGATCTCGGAGTAACATTTTATACTCTACTGTGTTAATTCGCGCGGAATACTTCACAGTTTTGTTCTGATATAACGTAACCAAGGAGAATTTATGACTTAAGGTTGCGATCTCTGAAAAAGAAGCAGCTAATTTTGTAGTTTTCGCTGGGACAACTTGTTGCATTATTTGCCATTATATACTTATCAGACACTTTTGAATTCAAGAAGTACGGGTCCGGTTGCCAAAGATTGTCGAAAAATTTTGGCGGCAGTATAATGTAGTCGTTGTCTTCCTCGAATATGTCCCAAGGCGTGTTAAGTCGAGACTCCATCCAACTCTGACTGACGAACATGTCTATACTAATACATGTATATGCACGATAAAAATAATTTTGTCAGCGTAACTGAATTTTGCGTTGCCTGGTAAGAATAGAGACCAGATAAAAGAACTCGATTGTAGGAACAGGAAGATTTCTGTAAGAGGTTTCTATTCAGTCAATCGTTCTCAATTATTGCAACTGAGTTTTAATATAGTTCAAAAAAATATTCAGATAAATTTGATTGTGATGAAAGAGAAATCATTTTACGTTGCTGAATTTCCATCTGGTCTTTATTCAGTTGCGCGAATTGAAATCTTTTTCCGTATGTTTATGAATTCCCAGATAGTACGGAAATATTTTATGAATGTTCTATGAATATTTTTTACGAATATTTGTACTTTCAATACATGGAAAAAACAACTTTATCAGTGTAATTAAACTTTTTGTTATCTGAAAATATGATAAAAAACGTACTTAATAATTCGCTCTTTTTGTTTCGTATGTACTAGTTATGTAATTTAAAAACTGAAATATGCTATTAAAACGCTTGTTATGTTTTTAGTGAGACCTGCAATGTTCCTAGAAAAAGGAAGAGGATCCCTAAGGCCGATTCATTTTATTATGTTCCGTAGCAAGATAGATTTTACTGTCTATTTCTAGACTACTAGAAACTAAAATTGAAAAGAACTCATATGAAAAAAAGAAAATATAATATGCCGTACACTCAGTCAATTGCTTTAAGTACCGACAGAAAAGTACCGACTTTTAATGAGTCTGAATATTCAGACGAATGTTTTATGTGTCATAGTAACAGAGATGTTTTTTCCTGGTCAACGAGTTTTTTTCGTCTGACTGTCATACAATTACACGAGCTGAATTTTTTTCTGTGTGAATATACTAAAAACACTGTTATACGTTTATAGTACATTCATAATATGTTCGAATGACAAACTATAAATATTCTATGAATGTGCATAGAATATTTACAAAATGTATTAGATGTACAAATGAATAATCCACATTTTTCGGAAAGTTTACTTAAAAAAAAAAGTAAAACAAGTTTTTCAATCGAAGTATTCGCCGTTGCTTTTTCTAATTTTAAGCCATCTTTCGGGCAGCTTATGAATTCGGAAATATGCTATGTCTTTAGACACAATGAAGTCGTCAATCCATTCTCGGATTTTATCCATTGATTGAAAGTGTATATTAGACAAGGCGTGTCGCATTGACTGGAACAAGTGGTAATTGAAAGGAGATATGTCTGGTCAATGCAATGCTGCAAAATGTCCTAGCCAAAATTTATTATATACAATAAAATAAGGAAAAAAAAGAGCATTTAAGAGCCAGGCACAATTGTAAGAGTGTAATCTATATGTTACAATAACGGCGGCAAAAAATTACAAATATATATTTTACGTTTCGACCCGATTTGGGTCCTCTTCAAAAGTCACAAAAAGAAAGATAAAGGTACAAGCGCAAGAGTCAATCTTTGCGGAAGATCAAATCTTAAAGTTAAGCAACGCAAATAAAGTTAAACGCTAATTAAAATATAAATCAAACTCAAAATTTATTATAGAGTCTTTTGTGTTAGAAGTAATGTAAGTAGCCTGACATTGTCATGCAGTAATTTCACAGAACATTTTCCTTTGCTAGTATACAAACGTTTTCATTCAAATTCCTGTTTCAAGTGGATTAATTGGCGTTGATAGCAGTCCGCAGTAATTGTTTTATTCGTTTTTAAATCACGCTCTTGATATTCTACCGAATGCAGAGCAAAATTTTCTTTCCAAAGCGTTCGGGGTTTGCGACCGATGTTGATGATTCACCGGGATTTAATTATAACTTTTAACATTTTAGATTGTTATAGAGTATCTTTTTATCACCTTTAACAATTTTCCACAAGAAAACTTTCTACGCTGCTTATTAAAAAGAGAAAAACATTTTGCCATTCGTTGATTTTTGTTGACTTCAGTGAGTTCATGCGGAACATGCATTTTCCTTATTTTTAGGTTTTTTCCATCTTGTGTAGATGTTTGGTAATGGTTTTCTTCGTTCCCAATTGTTCTGCTCTTCTTATGTTTGTGCCAAATTCTCAGCGAGCAATTACTTTAAATCATGATTATCGCATTATTTTGAAGGGTGTTGTTTGTCGATCAGACTGAAATTACCGCTTTTAAATCTCTTAAATAAAAATGTGCATAAATCATACGATATAACACATTCGTCAAAAAATGAACAAATCGAATCGTATACTTTTGCAGCATTTTTCCTTGTTGGAATTCGTAAAGAATGTATTGTTGCATAGTGACATTTTATCTTATTTGTTGCCACTTTTTACGTTTTTTACTAAATACTTTTTAAGATTTTGTTGGATCTTCCAATAAACTAAATATAATTTTGAATAACTATATCACACTACATAACCGCAAATAACGGGAAAATTAATTGATTTTAAAATTATCTTCTTTAACTATTTTTAAAAATTTTGATTATTTATACACCTATTAGATTAATATAAATATCATAGATTTTGCTTTCACAATTATAAATTAATAATTTAAGATTTCTATTTTGTGAATATATTTTGATATTAAATTGTAATAAATATATATTACTATTTGGAACATTTAAAAAACTTTTCAGTTATATGAATGCATTAAGTATATGCACATGCGTAATAAGTAGATTTTATAAACGTTCTAATAAACATTTTTTTCTATTATAAATATATGAGTATCTCTGTCAGAGAATATTATATGTATATTCATAAAATATTTGATTGAAATATTCTGGAATTGAAAATATTCGTATTTTATAAGAATATTTTATCTGTGTTTTTATGCTATTTGTGCTATCTGTGTATTTTGAGCAATTGAACTTCACATCCCGAGTAAACAGTTGCACATGTAGATATTTTAATTAAATTTTACATTTCTAGATACTTTTTGGAAATACTTCGGCTTATCGGAAATCCATGTCTTCAACATTGATTGAATTAATGTCAACCACTAAAATGTTAAAGTTCACAACTACAGGTGCGCCTTTTGTTGACGGTGATTTAACCTCTGTGTATTGTTTTATTTTCTTATTATTTATCATTATTGTGGTTAAATTCCCAGTAAACATAAAATAACAGTAACATAACATCAATGTTACATTTTCCTATTCAACAATGTAACTGTTATATAACGCACGTGTTGTATAACAGTTACATTATTGAGTAGGAAATTATAACATTGATGTTATGTTACTATTACTGTGTGTTTATTGGGTTCTTAAAAAGTGTTTACTGCGTTCTTAAAGAGAGATAAGTTTCCTCCTATATGTTGCGTATTACCTTCGACATAATGTTCAGGTAGAATTAGTCTCGACGTCACAGTGCAATTGTTGACATCCTCGTTGAACAAACTACGAGAGAGATCCTACGTCTCATTATTGTTTAAATTGCCTTATTTGTCAGCGTCGAATAAATATGCCCATTTATTACGCACTCGTTTTTCTTTGAATTTCCATAGTGCTTGTTTACTCGAACCATATAAAAGATTCTTTTCCAATAACTCTACGCAATTCATGTTTCGTTATTCATGTTTCGTATTGACTCATTGCAAATTCTGCAAATTATATTAAACACAGGAAAAGAAATAGTTCCATCCGAAGAAAAATGCAAATTATTCAAACAAAATTAATAGCGATTCTTTTTATCGCGACATGGAAATTGACAGCCGTTATCGTATAATTTTCCAGTAATCGCACATGAGAAACTTGCTAATTTTTTTATTTGGTTATATGTACAGCTCATTTGTGACAGTGAAGTCGGGAATATGTCGAAATCATCAGTTATTTCGAACTTATCCTAACTTACTTAAAATATTTGAAAGAATTACATAAAAAAATCTGTAATATCTGTAATATTGATAAATCTGTAATATTGAATTGTGTTTCCGGCAGAAAATGATAAAATCTATTTAAATCTTTCATTTGAATGGAATAAATAACTGTTTCATGAAAAGCTGCAGTTTTAAGGAAATGTATATTTTCTTATTTGAACAAAATTTTTCTCAGTGTATATATACATAAAGTATATATGTTAATATAAGTATGTGCATGTATGTGTATGTGTGTGTGCAATATCTTATTTATAATAAAATTTATTTTTTATTTTTTCATTTAAGACATAGAAACCCTGGAAAAAAGTTCATACATGATCATATAAAAATATACATTATTATATATAGCTATCTATGAATTTTGTATACATATGTGACCTTATATATGATCATATCTAATTATATATGTCCATACATAAAATAAATATTGTTAAATGATAAAAAGAAAACATAATTTAATTTAATTAAACGCCGACATCGTGGGTTACCACAAACATAAGCATTTACTTTAATTATATCTTCACGACAACATTCCATGCAACACAACAAAATCGTCGTCAAAAATCGGGACATAAGACATCTCTTAGACGTCGAAATATAATACGTCTTTTAGGGCTGATTGTTCCAATCTCTTGGTAAGCTACCGGACAGTTAAATCATATGTCTGTCTCTGTCCAATTGGAAGGAAAATAGACATATGATTTAACTGTCAGATAGCTTACCAAGAGATTGGAACAATCAGACGTGTTCAGACGTAGGAATATAAGACGTTTCTAAGACGTCTTTAAGACGTCTCTAAGATATCTTTGAGACCTCTAAGAGGTCTCTAAGATCTTTTTAAGACATTTTTAAGACATCTTATGTATGATTTTAGATGTTGTGTTATGTTAGATATTCTTCAATGTGGACATATATAATTATATATGATCATATATGGCTATATATACACAAATTCATACATAAACTTTCTTCCCAGGAAAACATGTGTATTTAGATAAATATTTAATTATTTAATATAATATTTGATCATCAAAAGTAAGTCACGCGCGATATAAAACGAAATAAATTGATAACATTTTTACATAAACTAGAATGTGAGAAGTTAAAATTTCCGACAGAAATAATAAATTAAAAAATGATAAAGTCCTGCTAAAGTATTTTATAGTATTTCAACAAAATTTGTATGAGTTCTATGAGTTCTTATCGGAAATTTGTATATTTCTATGAGTTCTTATCGGATCTCTTAAGGGGACTGGAGGGTCAGATTGCCTGAAAATCATGCTTGTTTTTTCACAATTTTTTACCACTGTAATAGAACCACTATAATAGAAATTGAGTAAAAGTTAACAAAATTGCAAATATCTTAATGGAATGTTATTAAATTTCTAGTTTTTTTATAATAAAAAAATTAATATTTCAAAATTAAATTTTTTCATGAGTTTGTCAGTGGTTCACACCATAACAACAAGCTCACGAAAATTTTCTACCTAAAATTCAGTTTAATTGAACCACCGAGAGTCAAGATATTACTGCAAAATGACGATCTTGAAAAGAAAAACGAAATATATTTTAACTGCATGTACCATACACTTATATCGAGTATTTGATCATTAAAATTATATTTTTCTTCTTTTTATATGTTGTATAAATACACGTCAAAATAATATACGTCAAAATATAATTTCGCATATTTATTCAGTTTGTCATAAAAAATTATGAAAAAACAAGCACGATATTCAGGCAATCTTACTTCCAGTCTCCTTAAGCAGGATACTCCCTTCTCTACCTGTTTGTCACGGAATTATTCACAGACGTTTTTTCTCGAAAATTGTCGAAAGCGATAAAAGACGCCGCGACGAAACGCATCGTCGGCTCGTCGCTGTGCGTAATGATGCGAAAATGACTTTAAAACGAGTACGACGATGTCATTTACTTCGCGGAGCATACTTCCGGGAGAGAATCTCAACACAGGTGAAATAAAACCATCAGAGCTGGTGCGCTCTTCATCTTAGGTCGTGCTTGACTGACGATGTATTTTCAGCGCCCTTCGCGACGTGCACGAGGGCAATTAATCAATTCCTCATCAATTAACACGCGAGTCCAATTGTAAGTGCAATCATCCGCTTATGCGTGTACGCTAATTACTTTTCGCGAAATGGGCGAATTGCCCAATATTTCGCGAAACACGCCATCAGGTCGAAAAAGTAAATAAGAAAAAAGTGGACGAGGAAGCCGATATATATATATATATATATATATATATATATATATATATATATATATATATATAGCGAGGAGTATACTTCATCGTGCGAAAATGCACCAAAAGTCTTAATAATATCAAGTGCGTGCGTGGACGATAACGAGATTCTTTCAAGAGATGCTCATATCATCTTCATACGCGTGGATACGCTCTTGAGAGGAGAAAATATGAAAAGATACGGAGGGAAAGAGAAAGGTGAGAGTGAGAGTGGGTCAGTACAGGCGTCTGGTATGGCTACGGGTAGCTTGTCCCGATGCAGGCAGGCAGGCAGGCTTCGTAAATGAGGAAGAAGCGCGAAGAGATCGCAACTCGCTACAGCATACGTTGACGCGTCCTTCCCTTTCCTCTCGATCGCGTCCTGAGCGGAACAACGGTACTATTCATTTAGACCTTGACGTCATGCGCGTCTAAAACCTGACCTCGATCGCCGACCTCGATGAGATCTTTCGTACCTGTTCTCTTCGTTCGCTCGCGAGTCTCTTCTCTTCAAGGACACAGTACAGTAGAATGGCAAGAGGAACCGTCAGCTTCCAGTCGTCCCCTACGCATGATACGGACATTGGCGCGATCCCGACTTTCCCGTTATAAAAGATTAATTGCTATTAATCATCGATCGGTTCGTCCAGTACGAGTCGCAAAGACCTGATTCGAGCTCTTCGGAAGATCTGTACGGAAAAACAAAATCTAGTTGGATCAACCAAATATCCGATGAAATATGAGCGAATCAGAATTTCGGATAAAGTTATTAGAATTCTTATTAGTGTTCAAGTTAACAAGATTTCGATTAACCCGAATCTTGTTAACCCAAAATTTGGTTAATCAGAATCTTGTTAACATGTGAATACAGAATTTTAGTTCGTTTCTCACCAGACATTTAGTTAGTCCAGCCAAATTCTTCTTCTGTGTGAAAGACGCCCGCGAAGGAAAAAATGGGTCCTTCTTCCGAAGCCGTTTTTTGGAAATTGCGGTACGTTTTGCATTTCAATCGAGTCATTGTTGTAGCGTGTCTTACGCTCCTTGTGTTAGACTTATAACAGTATACTGAAAGAAAAGTGATGGAATAGACGAGACTCGGACAGTCGGTATCATGTACCAGCTCTTCTCTCGTAGAAATTTAATGCGGTTTCTAATTGGACATTTGTATTAACTTTTTTCTAGTAACTGAAGAACAAAACTACTTGGTATTCCTATCAAGATGTAACTCTTTTCTTACAGTTACTGTGCACGAAGGATGCGTAAAGTCGAAATATATTAACTAGAATGGAAACAACAGAAAATGAATAAAAGGCTATTTGATTGATTAATAAAGATCTTGTTTTATTATATTTATCAGAAAATATGTATACATAGAAATCTTTCTGCAAACTTTTCGTATATTTTTCAGTTTTCAAATACGATTGTGAAAGTACAGCAATGTTGTATGAAATTTTCCTGAGCAAAGGAAAACACTCGATTTGTATAAACTGCAGAATTTTTATATCAGGCAAATATTTACGCTACCTGACAATTACAAATGTGAATTTTAAAAATTTGTTTGCATTGAAAAATGTTTCAATGCATTTTGTATGTATTTTATTGTGTAAAAGCACTTGTAATTCTGTACAACTAATTCAACGTGAGCTTTGCAGAAAAGTTTTTAAGTATCTCCTTAACGTGGTTCTTATTTTAATAATAATTTTGGATTCTTGAAAGTAAATTAAAACTGTCAAGATTAATAAGTGTTTTTACGTAGAAATTCGTAGACTTGAAAGCTTCTCACTCCACGATTCATTTCTGCATTAAACATGAAATTTCTACTTTTATTAATTGGCAATCTTGGTTGTGAGGAATTCTTTTTGTGCCTGACCTCAAGGTAATCCTGCCTTGACTTTGAACTAACTTATATTTGGACACATAATCATTGATACTATTAGGAGAATCTCTCATCGCGTGGGTGAGCTGGCAAACAG